AACGGTGTACATGTATGTGTTGTAAATGCTTGTTACTGAAACGTGTATATATTTAGTATATAATTCATTTATATATAGCTAAGAGTTTGCACATATTCGATGTATTTTTATCTCAGCTCTCATTGCAATTTGGCTATTATTATTAAAATGCCAAAAAAATGTCAACCGAAAAAATTTATTAAAATTTCTTTATAAAAGGTATTTAATTAAAAAACCCAAGCGGGCTATATCACTACAACAAAACGTTTTCGGAATCCACATTCCATCACCAGTGTCTAGGTTTACATGTTTTGAGCCACTAAATATATGGGTAAAAACCCGTTAAAAGTTATTGGTCTTAACTGTCTTTTCCTTTTTATTGGTTTTAATTTATTTTACATTATTCGATTTTATATGTTAACACGTTAAAGTTACCAGTGGATTTGATAACATGGCAACAACTTAGTTTCCTTGGGAATGTTAACAGAAAGGATAAAAAAGTTCTTATTGTGTAGATAAAAAAACGGGTAACTTTAAATAAACGTCAATGTTGATTCACGAAGCGATTCTGCACAAAAAAAAATAAAAGTGGGTACTGCTGCAGACGTTAGAGAGAACTTTGATAACTATTATTGAACCATAGATTTCTTGCTAGTGTTTAAATTAATTTCTTCTTTAGTGAAGTGTATACAGTGTAATAGACACATTAATTTCAAATTTTGTAAAACGGAAGGTTTTGGATTTAAGATTGAAATTTGAAAATGTCTTGATTTGAATGGTGTATGTCGCCTAGGTATGATCCGTCTAGTAAAAGAATCGAGTATGGCGGATATGAAATAAATCATCGATTTACATTCGTAATGCAAACCTTAGGGTTAAAATTTTAGCTGGTTGTGATGTCTACTGTGGTCTTATGAATTCGGCAAGTCGTTTCGTAACAAAAACAACCTAGTTCATAATATGTGCAGAAAATGTATGTGAGTACAAAAAATTTTGTGACTAGGTTTTTGTCTTTGGCTATAAAAGAGGAGAAAATAGAAACATGTAAGCAGCGGAAAAATACTAATTGGTCTAGTATTACCACTACAGCTCGACGGATAAGAATCCGCAACACCAAAAATGCCTGAGTGGTGCAGACTCATGGTGTGAATGGCAGAAAGTAGCAGCTGAAAACAAACTAAATTCGTTCATACACAGTTATATTGTACTTTCTAGTGACGTTTTGGAAGCCACGAAACCCGTTTATAATAACTTGAGCAAAGATGCACTATTAGTTCGATGTGTGGTAACTCAAAAACAAAGAACTTCTTGTGAGTATAACTTCAGATATTGAAGAAATTACAGCTAATATTTCTTTATCTGCATTAAACGAAGGTAATTTTGCTCTACTTATCTTTATGCAAGAAACTGGAATAAGAACAGGATCAAGTTCTCATAATTATACACGCGCGACAGATCAAAATCGATTACTAGAGAGGACAAAAAAGGCTGCACATGAAACAAAAGAACGCAGAGTTCGTCGAAGGCAGGAAAAAAAGATGCTCCAGATATTTTAGCAGAAAGCACTTTGCTATATGGACCTGGATAGACGATTTTGTGTGAAGATTTTAAAAAATCATCTTCTTATAGTGACCTATCCAATTAGTGGATGTTGGCGTCAATTCTGGCATACTCCTCTCGATCTTGTGTGGCTCTAAAGAGTGCATGGGCATCGAGGTTTGTCCAATCCCTTATGTTTTTAAGACATGAGTATTTCTTTCCTCTGATGCCCCGTTTTTCTTCTACCTTCCCTTCCATAATAAGCTTTAAGAACTGGTACTTGGATTTTCGAAATATATGACCCTGATAAGCAGTTTTTCTTCTTTTTATTATTGGCAAAAATTCTCGTTCTCTGCCCATTTGATTTACTTCGACATTTGTTGTGTGATCTGTCCAGGGAATTTTAAGTAGTCTTCTAAATACCCAAATTTCAAAGGCTTCCAATCGGTTCATCACATTGGCCTTTATGGTTCAGGTTTCTACACCATACAGCAGTATGGAGTAAATGTAACATTTTACAAAGCGATATCGAAGCGTTAAGTTAAGGCTGCTGTTGCTTAGCACGGTTCTCATATTAATAAATGCAGTTTTGGCTGGCTCAATCCTGCTACGTATCTCTATGTCTGGATCTAGATCTTCAGCTATCCAACTACCCAGATATCTGAGCTTGGGGACCTTTGGGATGTTCTTATTGTTTACTCTTATATTTAACTGTATATTTCGTGTTCTACTAACCACCGTTACCTTCGTCTTGTCTATAGTAATCTTCAAGCCCAGTCGTTCTCCTTCAGTGTATATTCTATCTATTAGTGGTTGTAGCACTTCTTGGCTATCAGCTATTATGACTGTATCATCAGCATAGCGAATATTACTAATAAAATATGCTTCTTTTTTTTTAAGTGTTTTTCTCGAAATAATTTTATTTCAAGCCGGTGTTCACTGTATCTCAAAAACTACTTGACTGATCCTTCTCAAATTTTGCACACTTCTTTAATAGATAAATTACAAAGTGACAACGTCCACATATTGTCCATTTTGTTGTTATAATTAATTTTACATCAAATTAATCCAATTTTATAAAAAATTTCAAAAATTCATCTTTTTTCACTTCTAAAATTAATAATATATCGACATATTATTAATTTCATTACTAGGGAAACTCATAAACTATTTTTGGTTTTTTGTCAACATATGATGCATTATTTATAAGTTACGGTGAACACCGTTAATAGACTTTTGTTTGGCTAAGTAGACGTAAACATTGTGGATGTACCATGTCAAGGAAATAGAGTTAAAGGAAGCATGTTAATTTTAAGTTTGTTAATCGCTACATAATTTTTTAATTAATAATATTTTTCGTCCGGTGCATCTGTCCCATGTACTTGAATTGCAGATGTACTTATATATGAAGAAATGCGATTTTAACAGTAGTTAAAAATTTGCCAATTTTTTTTTAACTTGGAGGTTTGTTTACTGTTTATACTTTTTCAATATCATTTGTTTTTATGAATTAATTTTGTTATTGCTAATATTTAACCTATTCATCCAGTCTTGGGACAGTCACTAGTGCTAATTTTTAATACAAGGTAGCCCAGTAGTATCAATATTAATTGATATGAGTTTTTCAAAATTTTTACTCTACTCCCAATTATATCCAATTACGTTAAAAATGCATTCAATTGTAGTTGATCGAATAGGAAAAACTTATTAATTAATATTCAATTGCGTCTGCCCCGCGAAAAGTCTACTGAGTATTAGTATTTGTGCATTATTTCTTGTAAACAACTTCCCGAACTAAACTTTTGGATATTTACCTTTAAAATACTATTGGGCCACCTTATAATTTTTATTATTACTCAAAAACTTCTTTTAGTTTGAACTACAGTATAATATGGTTTAAGAGAACCCAAAGAATAACATCAAAGTTTCATTTATAACAAAATATCAACTTTTTCTAAACAATTATTGTTATAATTTCACAAATACTGCAAAGACCTTTGTAATTATCAAATGTAATGACTTTTCCTAAACATATAAAAATCAGATGACCTTAAAAAACCGTATGAAGATAATTCTACTAACGAAAATACAGAAACTTGACAATATATAGAAACATGATCTAGATATAAAAATAATAAAGTACACATATTAAAAATAGTTGCAATTTTTTTATAACACGGCTTTTAAATTGAAAAAATGCAAATATAACTAAAACTATTTGAAGCTGACCAACTTAAACTCTTACAAATCTACGTAACAAAATTAATGAAACCGGTAAATTACTTGAGACTTGGTTTTCGTACTTATTTCTTTTCGTTAAAAACACAGCTCCATCAAATGCTCCGATTACAGAATTATAATAGTATAGGTCATATATTTAAGATTTTAGTAGAAGTGTGTTGAAATACGGGATGAAATTGAACTCTAAAAGACCAAAAATTGTATACTAAACAAAAATGATGAAATATAAAACCCAGTTACGAGTAAAAATGAAAATTTGGAAACAATACATACCTAGGATAGTTTAAAATTAAAAATGGGATCACTCACTGAGTATATACAAGGAAAGATCTTATGCAGTATGTAGCTGAACCTTGATACAAGGTTCTTGAGATGCTATATATTCTACATCTTTTTGTATGTAGTGGATGCCTGGATTCTGAGGGAGACAACATATAGAACACTAGAAGCCTTCAAAATGTGTTGCTATTGCCGCATGATTAGAATTTCATAAACCCCTAACAAACAATACCCTAATCTAACGCATGACAAAAGATTTATAGTTATACATACTATGAAAATTAGAAATATGTCATATGGAGGACAGGTGGTGAGAGCTTAGGAGATCGTGATGATTAGGAGATGTTGAAAAATATCAGGCAATGGTCGAAAATGACGACTGCGCATTTATTCAGAGCAGTTGGCAATAAAATCATGTGTATCAAAGTGATTGCGCCTAGAGTAAAATAAGAATTCTGTAATTTTTATAATGTTTCAATTAATCGATTACGTAATGTTATGTACTCAAATAAATCTGCATTTACTGAACGGAAATACAATTCCAAAATTTTAAACTGGTCTAAAAAATGGATCTTTGTTTGTTTAGATAATATCAAAAGTTTGAGTCCGATTTGTCAGGTTCGGTCAGTATTTATATAATCTAATTAAGTTATCGAGACAAACTAGTTTAAGTTATAAAAATAGATATTTTTTTACTCTGGAAATAAACCAGTTTTTATTTAAAACATATGTAACTAACGTTTTCCTAAAATAAATGAGTGCTATCTGTATTTCAAAGCGAGTATTTACATTTTTTCAATTTGAGTTTTGTACATAACAAACTTAAAAGCGACATCTTAACTAACATTACCTTAAAAAAATAATAAAACTGAAAATTATCTATAATTAAAGACACTATTTACATTTGCCAAGAGACACAATTAACTGTTAATTAATTAACCGAAGTTAACATAATCTTCATATCATTTAATAAATGCTGCTTGTGGTACAACACCTTGTGCGTTTAAATTTTGGAATACCATTAAGGCTTTTTGGTAGTCCCATTGTGTTTCTTCTAGACACCTATAAAATAAAATAAATGCATGTTAATTATCGATTAAAAATGACAATTGATCATATTCCAAATTCTTCTTACATTTTATTAACAAAAATTCTCAATGTCATGCATATTGCATAAAGCAAAAACGTACTTTATTGGTTTAGGGAAAATAAGCATAAGCATGTATTTAACGCAACTATATAGACACAATGTTTTCAGAAATTAAAAATGGTGTGGGATCAGTGGGCCACACATAGTTGATTCATTTTTCGTGAATGAAAATATACATAGAAATTTACTACAAAATAAAGGTCGATTTATACATATCCGTGCCGTGTCCGTTCCGTGTAATGGCAGTGCCGGCAAAAAAAAATAATGTACTCTTATAAGTATATTTATACATTGGCGTTTCCAGACGGAGACCGTCCGTGCCCGGTCTGAAATTAATCCCAAACGATATTTTTGTTTAGGCACTGACAATGAACGGAAATGACATGAACCGCACGGACTTGTGTTTTGTGAACACAAGTCTAGTAAACAGACGTGCAAGAGATGTTGTGCGGTTAGTATGTTATGGTTTCTATATGTAGTAAAGAAAAAAGAAAAGAAAAAAAGAATACCGCGACATTCTAAAATATTCGTAAAATAAATTTTATTTCATCGCCCAATAATTCTCTGTATATTTTAATTCTCCTTCGGTTTGTCTTTTTTCCCACATATGATGCATATTCCATCTTCTTTGTTTCCTGCCTTTTCTGCTTTTGCTCTTCATCAAGTAATAATGCCAACCGGTGAGATCTATCTAAGCCGCCATATTTTTAACTCTTTTACACGGAAATATGTAATAACGTTCTCCTATCTATTTGGCCCGGTACGCACACTACTACAACGCGGTTGAATGTAGATATAACATTAAAAATATCCGGACTCAGCACTGACACGGAACGAATTTGGGACTGACTTTTAATATTTGTTTTATTTGGCGGAATTATGTACAAAACAATAGAGCTGGTTGACCTGCTATATAGAATTCGGTGGTTAGGTTAGGATATATTAGGTATAAATCTGCCATTACCACGGCTTGTTCGCCGGTCCGAAAGTCTGGACTCTCCAATACTACAATCTGTATTGGGAATCCATCCATGCGAACAGTGATCCATTTGTTCTGACACTTGTACGCTGTACCCCACTGGGAAATTTGTCTTATAAAATTGGCTTAACTATGAACATACCGGGTGCTGAATCGGGCCATAGGAATCTCATTTGTTGAATTCCTGCTTCCATAATTATTTTACATCAAAAGTCATAAGAAACTATTTGTAGAGGACTGAAAACTGTATTAAAAACAAATGTTAAAATTGTTCTACGAATTAAACGTACTCCAAAATTTTGCAAAAATATAATCCATTTTTCAGACCACCTCTTAAAGTTAGGCCACACGCGGTTCAAGAATGTGTATGACATGTTGCGTTTTGATATTATATTTGAATTGTCAATATATGTATTTGAATTGTCAATATTTTTATTTTATGATTATATTATAAACATCGAATTTTCACAAATTCTACTACTACTAGTGAACAATAAATAGTAATTGTAAACAATAAATTATATTGTTCACGAAAAATCGCAATAATGTTGTATTCAGGCAATAGTGCGAATACTGCCATATCTTTATTTAACGTAAGATACTATAATACCATATTAAGTAAGATATTATACCTTCAATTTAATTACATGTGACACAACAGTTCAAAGAATTTCAATATAGTTTTACTGTGATTCTTCCTAAAAATAATTTATGATAATTTCTAAACATAAAACTATAACAAATGTTCTAACAACAAGCCATTTTGTACTAAGCAGTATCCCACTTGATTGTAAAATTCTCGTCTAAACATTAGCCAGAACGCGTGGTGTTATTTTTGCACTCTTCAATAATTCCCATTTTTAATGTTTCCATATCTGTAAATTTTTGACCAGAATAGACTTTTGAATTTAGATGCCCCCCGATAAAATAATCATTTTTTGGAGCTAGATCTCCCGATCTTGGGGGCCACTTAATATTACAGTTAAGTCCAATCAAACAATTATTGAAGCAGTTTTTAAGGAATTCGTTAACCTCGCAGTTATTGTGCGCAGGGCATTCATCCATTTGAAACCAAATTTCTTCTGCATCTGGGACTATTTCTGCAAGTCTGAGTAAAATCTCTTCTTGTAGCAAGTCTAAAAACTTTTTTAAAATTTCCTCAAAGAAAAATGATCCAATAATATTGTGTCTAAATATTCCTAACCATACATTTATTTTTCGACGATATTGAGTATGGCGTTCAATAATATCCTCAGGCTTCTTGTCGACCAAATCCTATAATTTTGAACATTTGGTTCATTATTTAATGCAAATGTACATTCATCACTAAACAAAATGTTGTTTAAAAAGTGTCTGTCTGCATTAGCCCTCTCTAAAATTTCATAACAAAATTCTGCTCGTCTAGCATCTCCTTCTCTTAGTTCTTGATGACATTGAAATTTATATGAACAGAATTTATTCCTTTTCAAAATTTTTAAGGCTGCTTAATTATGAATATTAAACTGGCCTGCAATGGTCCGAGAAATTATTCTAGAATTTTCTACACTGCTGTTAATACATTTATTTCATTTTGATTTTCTAAATTTCTTGATACCTCAGCTAATATTGTTTGTACAGGTACAATTAGAAATCAAGATCCCAGTCTATTGGGATATCTTACGCTAAATAAAGAACTGACCATTCGCGCACTATTGCTGGAATAAAACATTTTTATTACTGCTACTTTCTCCTCAACGGAATACATTTTTTAATCAATTATATTGTTTTTTTAAACAATAAATCACAGCTAAAAAGAAAAAAACAATAAATCACAAAATAAAAATTTTGGCAATTCAAATATTGTCAAATATCAGAAACATCTGATATTTGACAATATTAGGTGGCCTGAAAAGTGTATTATATTCTTACAAAATTTTGGAATACGTTTAATTCGTAGAACAATTTTAACATTTATTTTCGATCCATATTTCAGTCATCTACAAATAGTTTTTCTTGACTTTTGGTGTAAAATAATTAGAGAAGCAGGAATTCAACAATTTAGAATTTCCCATTGAGTTTCCTGTGGCTCGTTTGACGATTCACCACCCTGTATAACATTTCATAGACTGTTTTATTACGTCTAAGTATGCAGCACTCCAGTTCTCATGTCATTAATTTGGTCTGGGTGTGATTACTTAAAAGTCACGAAACAAACTGCATATTACAAACACAGGCGCTGCACTCTATTTCTCCCAAGTAGCCAATAAAAATGTTGATATGAACGTTTTCAGGTTATTTAAAAAAAAAGGTATAAAACACATAAACGCCCATCACTTAAGCTCATTCTGTGGCAATGACGCTGATGTCAATTTAATAGTTTAATCTGTTCAGTTTCGCAGTGAAAAACCAATATATGTGGTAAGTTTAATTTTTTTGCTACTTCACCTAAACACCATATAAAGAAAGTTTTTTCTTTTATTCATAGCGTTTTTTAATTCTCGGCTAGTTACAAAGACAGCATTCCTAAATTCTTTCATACAGTGTTGCATTATACTTCTACCAATAAGAAGAGAAAGACTTAAGGGTGATGTACCTTCATTTTTTTGTCGACTTCTGAACGCCTACCTGCTTTTAGCGTTATAATATGGACCAGCGAGGAATATTGCGTACAAGCACTCTTGACCACGGCGCAGTAGACGAAATTTGGTTTAGTCCCCACTTCCGTGCGAAACGCATTGTACTATGCACTGTATAATTCCACTTACAATATAACCTTTCTGCTCTTACATGAATTTGACTCAGCCTTCGCGCAGCTCCATGGTCAGGAGTGCTTGAACTATCTTTAATGTCCCTTCAAACTTCTTTGTGAGATGATTAGTATATTTAGATTTTAGAATTTATTATTAAATTTCTACTTATTTTAATTAATAAGCAGTCACGTTTTGATGTTCATCAATTAAATCTAAAGCGGAATGTGCTATACATTGATTGTCTTCCTTCTTATATTATAAGATGAACCAAAAAGCTTTTTCGGGTCTTGAAAAATTTCAGTTTGGGGTCTTTTATTTATCATTTTTTTGGAAATTTTATGTAATATTTAATTTACGCTTTAAGTAACCTTTTGTTTCAATTTGATCAAAGAACGCAATCTATTTAGTAATAAGTTAGTTGCTATTAATAGGTATGTGTCCTTAATTTTTTTGAGTATTTAATAAATACATTTTTTGAAGTTTACTATTTTATTGAAGACATAATTTTTTATACAGCATATAGGTAAACAGGTCAGCATCAATTCTCGGCTTTCGTGGATGTTAGGCGTGATCTCCACGTGGTATTTCTAGCATTGCAGTTCCTCCCGCTAGGATTGAAGTGTTATTCATATATAGAGATCTTTTGTTATGTTTGGGTGGGCAGCATACTACGGAAATGGTTAAGGGATCAGAGTCAATTGTTATAGTTATGCTAGCTGCTTCCAGGATGCTCTTTTGAATAGTTTTCTCTTTCGTAGTGAAACATATTTTCTCTAGCTGTTTTGGGATACACACTTTATATTTTGGTTCTCTAATGTAATGCTTTTTTGGAGTAAGATTCGGCGATAAGCAGATTGTCAAGCTTCGTGTTTTTTTATGAAAGATTTAACTTCTTCCATGTTTTGTCCATTGGCATTCAAAACTCCTATTTTATATCTATACTGCAATGTCATTATGCGATTTTATTAATGACCGTGGATAGTAAGTTTAGTATTTTTCCTATTTGTTTGCCCATAATTTCTTTTAACTTACTTAGGTAATTTTGATTTGTTGGCTGGAAAGGTATTAATTGAAGATTTACGTAGATGACTGACTTTTTATTTGTTGTGTTCTGGGTATTGTCTGATCTGTTCATATCTGGGGCTTGTGCATAACTCACACCTTATCAAGGACATGAGTCTGCTACATAAACATACTAACTGATAAGGATATGACAAAAATACTCACTGTAGCGACCACTCGAGATTCATTCCGGATACTGCTGACATCTGTTTTACCATTTCTTGTTTTGTAGCATCATCTGGCACAGCTAGTTGTGGTATACTGGGTCCTGGGGACGTAACCACAGGGGCTGCTACCGGAGCTACATTAACTGTTGTCTTGAAAGCATCCTAAAAATATCAACCGTTAACAAAGTCAATGCTAGAAAACAAACTGTCCAGTTTTTTAAAAATCTAAAGAAACGAATTTACGAGGATATATCGAAAAAATTTTAGCCTAAATTTGAAAACAAAAAGTATTTTATTAGCCAACAAGGTCTCATAATTAAATACATTTATTGAATAAATTGCTTATCTTACTCGCAAATCAGGCCTCAAAATCACCTCTTAGTTGAAAGAAACTTTACAACTCTTTTTCAGTTGGATAAATATATGGTGGCCGGACTGAGTCAGATAAGTGGGTTGTTCGAAAATTCGAATCCTAAATCATTAATTATTTGCACAGTAAAACGCGATCTCCATATTTTTTTTGTAGTAAGATAACAATCAGTAATTTCGAAAAATAATTCCCAGTTATTGTTCTACTCCTATCCCGAAAATCAACCATGATTACTTCTTGACAATTCCAAAAAACTGTTTAATCTATTGTAACAACACATCTTAAGAGTTTTGATATTTTTTAAACAGAGCACAGATCGAAAGCGATTCATCGCTTTTGAAGCAATCGGAGCTTCTGAAATTAAGGAGTGCTACCAAATAGAATCTTACGATTTTGAGAACTGTGTACATTTGTCCACTTTTCGGGTTTTTGGCTATAATTCAAAAACTGCATTTTTCGTAAATATTTTACGGAAGATTTTTTGTGAAGAATTAAATATACTATCAAAATAACATATTTTGAAGCCCAAATTATATTTTAAACAAAATATATCCAAATCTTTTTTAGATTTTTTAACATTTAACATTTTTTGATATATATTTTGTTGCAAAAAATGTGTACGTTAGAAGATGTCATTTTTAAAGGAAATTTAATTCTCTACAATAAAATTATGAATAAATATTTACTAAAAAGGGATAGTTGTATTTTGAGTTGAAGCAAAAAAAAAACGAAAAGTTGACAAATGCTATAGCGGGATGAGATGGTCAAAAGTGCCCCCGCACCGATCAGTACCGCGACTTGTGCTTTCAATAAAGCATATAAAAACATGACTTTATACAAATTTTTAGCTTTTTAGAGCCATAGAACTCTTAATTAAAAAAAGAAACTTTTTTCGACTTTATTGTTTTCTGGACGCCATTTTGCTTTAAAAAATCTGAAAAAATTCATGAAGATGTATGTTTCGAATACAAAATAGCCTGATTTTTTTTTTCAAATTTTTATATTGAAAATTGAGGTCAGGAAAAATCATTGAAATTTTCAATAATTTTTTAGGTTATGTTAAGAATTTTTGGCTAACTTTTAAATAGTAATTTTTATGTATTTTTTTTTTGTTCTTTTAAATGGCCAAGGCAGAGTTTTCAATTTCTGAGCGGAAAGCATCGAAAAACTGTTTTTTGCTCATTTATTTGCACATAACCTCAAAAGTCAGTTGGTAATTCAACATTTTTTCTTCCACATTATTAAAATCTATTGTAAAATTACCCACTTAACTCTTCCATAAAGATAAAATTCGAAAATACCTTGTTTTTTTATCCTCTTCGCACTTTTTTTACCTTACCTCAAAATCAGATGGTTAGATGTATGCTTTTCCATCTATTTTCTTACGGGCTATGAATCATTATTGTTAAAATAATAATTTTTAACTTACAAATTCTTAAATTGCGAAAAAAATCGTGTTTTTCCAATATTTTCCCACTTTATTGGCTCATAACCTTAAAATCCAGTAGCTAAATGATCGAATTTCCGCGTATTTTTGATCGCACCCTTCAATTTTGTTATACCACTTGTCTTTTATTTCTTAAATATTCAAAACTCGAAAAATATAGCTAACTATTACCTTTATGATTGACGCTTTCTTAACAAATGTTTTTATCGCTTTTAATCGCATATCACTTTTTATGCGCAAGCCTTAGCTGATAATGCCTATTGCCTACACATAGTCTAGTACCAAATGTTTATCAAAATAAAAAAGTTACTAGATAATGATAAAGCACGCCTATGGGATATATCATCCCTTTGTCCTAAAATCCGTTGCCAGTTAATATCGAAAATCTCGAGTCATATTGAAATTCTCGACGTAGTTGGTCAAATCGAAGTTTAGAGTTGAATATTATAATTGCCTATATCCTATAGGCACGCGTATCGTACTCTATGGGCTAACACAGTCAAATCGATACGAAGACGATGGCAAAACGAAGACGATACGAAGACGACACTAAAGGTCGATTCAGACACATCAGTCCGTCCGTCACAGTGATCTGCGCCGAACCGAACAATCCTGTTATGGTCACAGAATACTTATACAACTATCTTGACAGCTTACACAATCAGTTTGTCAAACTGTGTGTGTTATGCCGTCAATATTTGTATTAAGATATTTGTGTATCACGGATTGTTCGGTTCGGCGCAATCACTGTGACGGGACTGATGTGTCTGAATTGACCTTAAGACCTCGATACACTAACAACGGTATGCCGACGCGCATCTTCAGTGACGTCACATCGATGCAAATCCTAAATCCTACCACATCCTACGTTATTTAATGTTGGTTAGGTTGAGTGTTTTTATTTTTAATTTATCCCATTGTGGATTGACTAATTTACAATTTTTAAATCAAATAGAGTTGTAAATGAAACCGCGATATTGAGATACAAAAATACTTTTGAAAGAATTTATAAAAATGAAATTATAAAAAAAATTAAATGTTATTGGAATTTAAGAATATTTATTTCAATATAGAAAGCACTTTAACAGAATAATGTTTTAATACTAAATACTAGGGTACAATACTACTTTACTAGGGTAAAAAAAAGTGCGAAAAGGATAAAAAACATGGTATTTTCGAATTTTATCTTTATGAAAGAGTTAAATGGGGACTTTTACAATGGATTTTGATAATGTGGAAAAAAATGTTGAATTACCAACTAAGTTTTTAGGTTATATGCAAATAAATGAGAAAAAACAGTTTTTTTGATTTTTCGATGCTTTCCGCTCAAAAATTGAAAATTCTGCCTTGGCCATTAAAAGAACGGAAAAAAACACATAAAAAATTACTGTTTTAAAGTTAGTCAAAAATTATTAACATAACCTAAAAAATTATTGAAAATTTCAATGATTTTTCCTGAGCTCAATTTTCAATACAAAAATTTGAAAAAATCAGGCTATTTTGTATTCGAAAGATACATCTTCATGAATGGGCTGAGAAGCTAAAAATTTGTATGAAGTCATGGTTTATATGCTTTATTGAAAGCACAAGTCGCGGTGCTGATTGGTGCGGGGGCATTTTTGATCATCTTATCCCGCTATAGCCTTTACCCCGATCTCAAAAATGCAAGGCTCTATATATTGGTACTATCGGATTTTACCATTTTTGGCCATACAAAAGAATAAAATTCCTTAAATGCCTTAAGTCACTTCTGCGTCGATATTTACGAGACTGAGCACACAATACAAAATTTACCTCGTTTGAAGTTTGTATTAAGTACCTTGCTAGAGTAACAAAATATTTTCTTTATCCTCGGAACCGGCCTGGGGTAACTAGATATCAGTATATCCTCGTAAAATGTACAAATTATATATAAAAGTGAATACATACTTTTGCTTGGTCTGGAGTAGCATTGGATATGTGAATTTCCTCATTTGCTATGCAAAAACCTGATCCAGCAGGCACAATTACAAGGGTTCTGAAGAAATATCTTAAAGGGGGTACTTTGTGTCCACTTTTTAATTCTTTAAACATACCAGCTACTGTCAAACAAAGCATCTGGGGCTAAAAATAATAATAAACGTTAATACAATTATACCTATCCGGTCAGAAAGAAATAATTCCAGATCAGGATCAATAAATTCCGAACACAATGTTATATTATCGTCAAAATTACTATTTTAACGGATATATTTAATTATTCTTTAGACCATTTTAGTTTTACGTTGAGCAAAACAAAAATAAAAGATTTATTGAAAATGACAAATGGAAAGTCACTCAAATGTCTGAAAAATATTGAAAATTTTTTAATCCCGACCTAATAAACCTAGAAATTTTATATAATGGTTTTAATTGATATATTTTTTTTATTATTTCACTGCTATGTTTATATATTTTATTTTATTATATATTTAGATAATAAATATAGATCACGTACTCTTGTAGATTGTATATACTTACTGTAAAAACTGTCAAATCTACTGTAAAACTGTGAATGTCGTGTTTGGTTTGCGGCATATCTTGCAAGAACGAAACAACAGCAACTTGTCCCTGTTTTAGCAACTTGTTTCTTCTGTCGGGATCTTGAACTCGTAATAAATTCCTACTATCGGTGGCATACCAATTCAACCAAGCTACTCCTTTACTGTCTTTGGAATAGCCGTACGGGTAGGCCATTGTCATTGAAAATGTTGCTTTTTCGTGATATGCCTGAAGAAGGGACTGCCTATTATCTGAATCATATATTAAGAAATACTGCTCGAGAAACTGACGCACTATGGATCCTCCATCACCATTACATAAGAACGTCTGTTGGTAAGGCGGTAACGGTTGTTCTTCGGCAATGTCGAAGCTAATTGGTGGGGGTAGATCTATACCATCCTGCATTTAAAGCATACTTAATACACACCATAATACTAAGTTTTTACTATCAAATAAAATTACAAAGTTAATTAAAAAAAAAATAAAAATTACATGGATTGAGATTATAGAAATAGTGATTTAAAAAATTCAAAGAATGCAAGCTGGATTCTCTGTCTATAACCATTTTGCTTTTTCAGTTGCATTCGTATGTTACGAATTTGCAATCTAATCCTATTTTTTAAATCTTGTAAATTTTGTGGTCAATCAATGTAAACTTTTGATTGTAAGTAACCCCATAGAAAAAAATCAAGTGGTGTAAGATCTGGAGATCTTGGTAGTCACTCGTATTATATCCACGTCTACAAATACATCTTCTAAGAAAACATAGGTTTAAAAAATCACGAACAGGAGGGCAAAGTGCTTTTGACTATTGTGAATAAACATAAAAAAGAATACACCAAGTATATTGTAGATAAAATGACTAAAGAAAAAGTTCAGTAGTATTGAGGCTTCCGCCATACCACTGTGAGCTCAATCCCATTGAGTTAATTTTAAGAGAAGAATATTAGGTACTTTTAAATATTCAGTTATGAAAGATCTTTTCAATAAAGAAATCGCGAGTATTACATCTACAATGTGGCAAAAATGTATACAGCATGTTCAGCAGAAAGTCGAAGAAAAGATGTGGGATCTCGACAATACCATTGAGACTCAGTTAAACCACTGATAATTAATGTATTTAATGACTACGGCTCGTAAAACCCTGATTCTGAGTAAAATATTATTTTGCACTTTGAATTTTTTTTGTTTTATTTATTCAGTCAGATATGTAACATGTTTTTACTTTGGACGAATTATTTTTCTGACCTTTGAATAGGTTTTTGCTTTGAAACTTCGCTTTCTTTAAAAAACAAATCTCTACTCACAATCCGTTATAGGTTTTTACTAAGTTGATAAAAGGGTTTCGCTGTTTACAAACTTTTACAGCATCTTTAGGACCTCAAGAAACTAGGCTAAAATACATGGTGTATATAAACAAATGTGTATATGACAAAAACAAACAAACAATTATTATTTGAGTAGTACAGAGGACTTAATCAACAGTCAGTCAATTATGACAAGTATATAGAATAAAATAGAATAAAAATACAATGTGTGCTTTAAATTTATATTAGATATTAAGATTCCATAGACCAGCTTCACTCTGATGTTAACTGTACGAGTTATTTTTAATAAAATAATGTAAAATTAAGAATGAAAGAAAATACTGCATTTTATATTTGAATATCTAATACAATACTCGAAGGGAAAATTTTCATCACTCCACATGTTAATTTTATTAATTTATTGCATTAAAATAACAAATTCCCATTATTATGTTGTTGTAAATCCTCATTCTAACATTTATTTATTTGATTTCATCTTTGTTATTCTTCTGATCATAAAATATAAATGAATAAATTCAAGTATGTACAATTCCCTGGCGCACGCCCTTGATACATTAACACCGAGACAAACGTAGTCCAAATAAATTATAGTAAATTGTTCCGCGTATAATGACTACTAAATGATACGGTATGCTGTTAAGGTGGGTACACATATGCTCCGAATACCGTCTCGAACCCCGTCGCGTACAGCGACGCGATCAACAAAAGTTCGCGACGTTGTTACAGGGGGCATTGAAATAAGTAACGAACCGAACACCGCTCCGTACTTTGTACCAAACATTTTAGCGTTCCAGCAGTAATTGAGTTGAATTCGCATGTGCAAGATGGATATTGCTGCAGCAGCCTACATTCTTATGCATTATTCAGTTAATAAAACGAAAAATATTCGTGAAAGGAGATGGTCCATTCCATTTTGATGCACTCAACTTTAAAAACACCGTCAACCTTCAAAATAACAGACTGACTATTTTGAATGACTGGAGATTCGATAAAAGATTCGCAAGCTAGTCCAAACATGAATTCGCGGTGTACATTGCCGCGCTCAAATTTCTTTTGATGCGTAGGTATTTTACCGACAACCGATGGATCGCTTCGATGTACGTTGTTGACGCGTCGAGGTACGGTACGCGGTTGCATGACTCCGTCCACACTTAAGAACGCGACGGGGTTCGAAACGGCATTCGGAGCATATGTGTACCCACCTTAAAATACGTTGCCGATAGCTTATGCTACGATGTGTGTTAATATAGTTTATGAGGTAGATTATGTACTTTTACACGTTGTTAAAATCATGATTTGTGAGTGCTCCTCGTAACATTTATAATGTATTTGCTTGTTTATTCCTAGTGCATCTTTATTTTGTATTTAGTGTAGCGTGTAAAAATTTCTATATAAAAATATCGACAAAAAGAGGAAGTTACGGTGTTTGAAGGAAAATACACCATAAGAACAAAAATAGTAACTGACGATCGTCAACTAGAAAAAGTGGGCAATCAAATCGTACTATGGCTATTTTTACAAATTTGCTGATCATTAATATTTGACCATATTTGTCAAAAAAATTTTCAGGTTTATTTTTGTTTTTAAAATAAGGTACCAAATTATATGATTACATAAAACGAGATACTTACCAACTTCATGCACTTTGGAAACCGCTTTCTTACTTCACTGTAGACAAAAAAAAGTGGTGAGGCCGTTGAGGCCCACGATTACATAACACTAACCTGGGAACATTCGCCAAGAGCATAGATTATTTAATAAACAGACAGTTTCAATCCTTTTGACCCTAATACATTTACCTTCACCACATGTATACTTAATTTTTTCGGACAGAATATACAGTTCTGTATTTTGTATAAGTTGTTATATTATATAGAATATAACTATTGTTATATTCTATATGCAATATTCTATCAGCACACTAGGGAGATATATTTATCTTACATACAAAGTTTAGTGTATGGATTGATTCAAACAAAATTAAGTATAAATTGACATGTGATGAAAATATTCTTATCGTCCAGAGATTTTGAGCTTTTTATTTGTATTGATATCTTTAATGTTAATTTAAGTCGAGCTAACCGTTTATTGCTCTAAGCTCAAAATCTAAATGTATATTGGTCGGAATTGTCGAAAAAGAGTACCAACAAATGTAATAATATATAATGCGAATAGAACGAAAATTATATTTTTTATTGGTAATCTTTTATAAGTAACAATCAAACAGAAAGAACTACCTAATATTAAAAACAAGTTCCATGACAGGAAATTATAGTTAAAATTCTACGTTAAAACAATGTATCTGAAAAGTCTGAGATTTGGTTTAAAGTGAATAATATATCTTAAATTTTACTCAAATCCTTTTTGCGTGTCTACTGAATTTGATTTGCAGTAATATTAGTGTATTTAAGGTTAAATTAAAGTGCAATTTGGGAGTGTTTTTAAAAAATTTAAAGAATTTTAAAAAAAAAATATGTTTATAATTTCATCTGTTTCCAGTATTCAAATTCCCAAGATATAAATCACCAGAAAAAATCGCTATTTAATTTAAGTTTTATTACAATTTAAACTCGATTATTACTAATTTACGAATAGATGTAATAGTGCAAAAACATGTCACAAATATATTGATTTTTTTTAAATTTCTATGCAGATAGCAATTAGTTTGTTTAGAATCAAAAACTCAACATGGCGGCGTGACGTGGCCACATATTGCGTTTAATCTGACTAACAATCTAAAAAACTCATTATTTATTGCCGATAGATAAACATATATTGCCTTCATTGATGTCCGAAGCAATTAAAGTATCACTAAAGTGAGATATTTTAACTTTTGTTACATTTCTCCTTTTACAAACAAAAAACAATAGAAAACAGGAGCAAGATTGCGATCGACGGATCATTAATCAATATGGGTAGATTATGATGGGCTAATCACACGTAATTATCTTACCAGCAATGAGTCTCTTAGATGTATGGTTATACTATAAGTATTGGATAGTCACCTTACAGTTTGTTTGAAGGGGTCAGTAACATGACATATCCGAAGTTATCTTCAACTAGCAGTGAAAAATATTTGAATATTTTTTTTATTGAAAACATTTATAAAAATTATAAAAAATTACTTTTTCTTCGAAGCTATGGGACCACAGTTAATTCAGAAATAGATGGAAAGAAGGGAAGATGTGCTGGAGAAAGCTGTTGTTCCAGCTTTCGCACAATATACTAGAAGTGCAATATACTACCATACGGTAACGGCATTTGTTGAAAAAAAAAAATACATACAATTCCCACAAAACAGTTTTTATTTATTTAAAGTAGACTATTTAACAGTAAAATATACTGATAGTTTCAGAAAACTTTGTAAAAAAACTTCGGGCTTTTAAGGGTTAAAACGTCTATTGAAAAACAGAACCGCAGAGCAGTTAGCTCATACAGTCTCAATATGGACACAATTATTTTATTCTCGTAAAGAACTTTATTCTACTTTTTTCATCTCTTGTTGAGGTCTTGCTTACAAACAAACTAAATTGCTTAAACTGAATAATTAATGAAAAATTAAGGTTTTTTTTCTAAAAATTATTCTAACGAGAGAAAAACAAGAACTTTCCAAATAAAAATAAAACGTAAGCCAATAAGCCATTTGTTACCTGAATATTGTCACTATTTTTCGAATTATTTGATTAAGCTATCATTGTTTCCTTTAACTGATAATGCATTTGTTTACAATGGATTAAAGCATAAATGCTGCTTTTATCAATATTGCTACAAGTTACATTATGTATAAGAGCATTTGTATTGTAATAAAACATGAATATGCACATACTGAGCAGGAAATTGGAAGCAAAATGATGAATTTCATAAACCAATATGCCAATAACATTTGCGATCAAAACATACATTTAAAAATATTAAATCTTATATGCCCTTGATAATTTGAATGCTGGAAATATACAAAATTATCATTAGCTACAGATATAATAGTTTAATATTTGATACTAGTAAACATTTGTAATGGGCTCTTCACAAAAACTAGTACAAAATCAAAACTCTGAGGGAATTGCGAGCCTGTGAGTATTATTACAGTAAGACATTACTGTGTGTTTAAAAATGCAAACTGTCTTTTCAATTGCTTTTTGACATTTATTTATTTAAGTTAAACAGTTATAAAAACAATTATTCCTGGTAAACGTTAATTTTAATTTACTTGGATATTTTACTGCATATCAGTAAACATATATGAATTAGTTGTAAATATCAATGAGACATAAATGATATCTATGGTTGAAAATATTTTTTTAGTCATTAACATTTAATGTTTTTAAATGCAACAAATATAATTCTGATAAAAGGATATTGACCCAATACCAATTTCATTATAAAACCTTACTCATGAATTATATTTTTTTTTCATTTTTTGTTTTATATATTTTTTCATTTTTTTTATATATTTTTTTTATTTTTGTTTTTTTTTTTCATTTTGTTTTTTTTTTTCATTTTTTGTTTTGTTTTTTTTTTAATTCTTTAGTTGTATACGCAAAGATAACTAGTCTTAAAGAACAAACTCATTTATTTTAGAAGAATTCACATATATTCTAATTGCTTAAACTGGTCATCGATCTGGTACCATAGAATCTGGGACATACTGTTGCTGGTGGTCATGTAAGTACCAGCAGAGCAGTTTTAAATTGTCCCAAGATTACGTTGGCAGATGTAAGAGGTACGAGCAAATACTTGCATGCTTCATACCGAAGACTTCTATAACAAAAATATTTCTGGCGGGGCAGGGTAGGAGAACATCTGTGCTGTGTGAATCTCCCAAATAAATTGTTTTTAGTACAAAAATGACGTTGAAAACAACTTGTTTTGCATACACAAAATTGTGTGAGGTTTTGTAAAAGAAATTTGGTATAAAAGTTTGTTCATTACTTATTTAAACATGGTTAACAGCTGAAAATTCACAATAAAAATACTTCAGTATGACTTTGAATATTAGTAATTGTTAAAATAGAAGATAAACAGCAAAAATCCAGGTAGAAATTAGTATATTAATGTAAAATCGTTTAGTGACAGCAAAATATCTGAGGCTGGCTTTGAAGTCTGGTATAATTGTTTTTTTCTTCTCTTCCAAATTGTTCTATAAGCAATTTTTTATTCATTTGAATTACTGTAAAGATAATACTGTCATGAATCCCTTTTGTATCTATTCTACATACGCTTACTTACGTAATATCATCATCATACCTGATATAAGTTGGTTTATCTTTAAATTTGTCACAAACTGGATTCCCATCCAACAGCAAATCAACAACTGGTAGTCCTTGAAATACGTCTAATTCAGTAATATCTCTAATCTGCAAAAGAATGTTTATGTTATTTAATTTTATTACTTAACTTAATAAATAATGAAAACGGCGAAATCTAATAGACTTTTGCGCTAGAAATGAAATGAGAATCAACAACACATACTTTCCTCATTTTTTTTATAGCCCTTTTTCTATCCGAATTGTCGAATAAAGGTCTCTCCCATTTCTCGCCATTCATCCCTGTTGTGTGCTAGGCGTTTCCACATTGGTCCTGCGACTCTTTTGATATCGTCGCTCCAGCGCATTTGAGGTCTTCCTCTTGGTCTCTTCGCATCGTACGGTCGCCAGTTTCCGACTTCTTTGTTCCATCTACCATCTTCGAGACGTTCGTTGTGTCCAGCCCATTTCCATTTTAATTTAGCTGCTTGTTTCGCGGCGTCCTTTATTTTTGTTTTGTTCCGAATTGCTTCGTTCGTTTGCCGATCTATTAGTGAGATACCAAGCATATATCGTTCCATGGCTCGCTGAGCCATGGAACGATAGATGCATGTATATGCATATATATGCATATATATATATATATATATATATATATATATATATAATATATATATATATAATATAAATATTATAGATATATATATATATATATATATATATATATATATATATATACCGGGTGGTGAATCGTCAAACGGACCATAGGAAACTCATGAGAAATTTTAAATTGTTAAATTGCTGCTTCCCTAATTATTTTAGATCAAAAGTCATAAAAAACTATTTGTAGAGGACTAAAATCTGAATTAAAAACAAATGTTAAAACCGTTCTACGATTCAAATGTACTTAAAAATTTTGCAAAAATATAATACATTTTTCAGGCCACCCCTAAAAGTTAGGCCACACGTAATGCAAGAATATATATTCGGACGTTTGTGTTTTATCATATTTATGTCAGATGTTTGACAATTTGAATTGTCAATTTTTTATTTTATGATTAAATTATAAACAATGAATTTTACTAAATACTACTACTAATGAACATTATTACTTTGTGAACAATAAATTATATTGTTTACAAATCGATCAATATAATGAAATGTACTCAGTTGACGAAAAATCGCATAATGTTGTATTCAGGCAATAGCGCGAACCTTTTCCTGCCACTACCGGATCTTTATTTAACGTAAGATATTCTAATTCACTAAAATTTAATTCCATGTTAAGTTAAGTTATACAACAATTCAATGAATTCCAATATACTGTTACTGTGATCTTTATTCCTAATAATAATATATGATAATTTCTAAACATAAAACTATAACAAATGTTATAATAAAACATGAATAAAACATTTTTATTATTGCTTTTTTCTTCTCAACTGAGTACATTTTTTAATCAACTTAATTTTTTTTAACAATAAATCACAAAATTTTGGCCATTTAAATCATAGATAAATGTAATATAATTGATTTAAATATTGTCAAATATCAGAAACAATAATATGACAAAACGCAACACGTAATACACATTTTTTCACAGAAAAATGTATTATATTTTAGCAAAATTTTGGAATACGTTTAAGTCGTAGAATAATTTTAACAGTTGTTTTCGATACATATTTGAGTCCTCTACAAATAGTTTCCCATGACTTTTGGTGTAAAATAATTAGGGAAGCAGGAATTCAACAATTTAGAATTTTCCATTGAGTTTCCTATGGCCCGTTTGACGATTCACCACCCTGTATGCATGTATATGCATATAGATGCATGAATTTCGAATCTTGTCCATGTTCTTTTTTGTGAATGTCCAGGTTTGAGCTCCGTAAGTGAGAACGGGAAGGATACAAGAATCGAATACTTTGGTTCGAAGGTTTTGGGGTATCTTTTTGTCTTTCAGTATGTATGAAGTTTTCCAAATGCGGCCCATCCCATTCTTACTCGTCTGCTTATTTCGGTAGTTTGGTTTCTTTCCATACTTTCCTCATACAGACCAACATAAATACAATTTTAACAATAATAGAAGCCAGCTCTCAATGATAGATTTTATAATCACAAATCGAGTGATAACACTGTCACAAATACTTGATGTCAGAGTCCTAACATCTGCTAACCTAGGGACCGATCATCACCATCATCATCACTGGCTCGACAACCCTTTTTGGGCCTTGGCCTGTTCCAGGATTCTTCTCCATTCTGATCTGTTCCGTGCTTTTTTCTCCAGTTTTTTATTTTTAAGGTTGTTATATGACTTTCTAATTGTTCTAAGTATCTCAGCTTCGGTCTTCTTCTTGTTCTTTTTCCTACTGGCATCTGTCTGAATATTTTGTTTGGTATTTCGCCTTCTTCAATTCTTTCTACATGTCCGATACAACGCAGACGTCCTATTTTGTGTGACCGGGGACCGATCACAACCTTGTTTTATACAAGATGCTACTAGATCGTCCGCAACAAAACAGAAAACCCTCAATGCTCATCTAAAAACACAATATAGAGCAACAGAGAGTACAAAACTCCTTTATGATAACAGTATTACCAGCAAACTAAAAGAGATCGAGTTACAACCAGAATGGGGAGTAGAAGATACTTCTGCTCCCTTCTACTCCCCATTCCCCGGCAAAAAATCAGGAAATACATCAACCAAGCAGCGGAAGAAGCAATTGGAAAGCGGAAAATTAACACGAGGGCGATAAACCACACGAAACGGTGGTTTTGTCAAGAGAGGCCAGAAGAAAGTATGGAAAATGCTTCGGAAGAGGAAAAAACCAGTTAACGAGTTCGTGCAGACCAAGGGTGTTCCTATAGAGACATGGCAACAGCACTTTAAAGAGCTATATGATGCAGAAGAAACGCTGAATATAAACGAATACGAATCAGATATAAGTGTTACAATCAATGACGAAGAGGTAGAAGCAAAGATCAAGATACTCAGATAATTTTAATTCCCTTTTGTAACGTGTTCGAAAATTATTAATTTTAGTTTTTACCAACTCTTCAGTAGTATCCGCTTTCACTTCTTGAAATTTAGCAATCAAAATATTCACAGGTTTTTTAGCGGTTTTATCATATTATGATGTCAATTTTATTTTCCAAAAATACTCTTGATCTTTATAAATGTCAAAGAAATCTCTTAAACTTCTAACTATCTAAGATTTTTTCGAAATTTACCAGCAAATGATTTGTTGTAGTCGTGCGATTTTGTCGTTGTCACAATATACACAATAAAATTTACGACCCAACCAACTTTTTCGTACTGCTCCAGACTGACTTGTTTGTCTGCCGCCAAGTCGCGCCGATTTGGTCTAATGGTGCAAATACACGATCAAATTCCGTTCAATTTTGTAGCAATTGACCAAATCGTACTGCGGCGTTGGAACGTGAGTGGCGGGATTTAGAATCATTTACATCAACTAAAACGCTCGGCTTTTAACATGTGGTACAATAAGGAAACACGCAAATGTAAATTAATAATTAATCCAATTAAATATATCCAACTAACAACTAAATATAATTACAAATTACTTACTTTATTGTTTCCAATATGAAGTATCTTCAAATTTGGAATCTTCTTATCTAATTTCTTTAAAAAGTTTAATAAGTGAATTTTATTATCAAACAAATTAAGTGCTTCTAAATCGGGTATATTTTCAGCAATGATTTCAATAACAGCCAAAAATACTATTGGTTTAAATAAAGCACAAAAGTAATTCTGTAAATCTGGATCTGCATGGAATTTCGTCATATCTAAAGCCTTAGTGGGAGCATTATATCTTTTGGCCATGGTTAATTTTATTTTTTCTTTGAGCGAGTCAGTCATTTCCACATTAGGAGTACCAGCAAAGACTCTAATAATTAGTTTAAAACCATTGGGTAACTGAATTTGCCTATCGAGGTTGTTAAGCTTTTGTGCAGCTTTAAAATCATCTATATAAAAGTTTACTGAGGTTCCATATGCTTGCCACTGAAAAAAAAAAGATTATGAGTTTATCTACATTTTTCTGAAGCTACAGTGGTGTTAAAAAGTCCTGCATCACCTAAGCGCCTTATAGTTTATGAGGTTTAACACAAATTTTTTTGTATATTTTCGCTAATTCATTTTAAGTTTGTGCTTGTAATTAGAATGGGGTTACATATAAATCAAAATAAAACCAAATTCATGGTGACTAACACAAACACAAGAGCTGGAAATGTTGACACAAATTTAATCATCAATGACCAAAACTTCGAAGCAGTCAAAGAGTTCATCTAGCATATCTAGGGACATCGGTTAACCCCAATAATAACACATCTGAGGAAATAAAAAGGCGAATAATAATTGCAAACAGGTGTTATCATGGTCTATCAAAGTACTTAGCTAACAAACGTCTGTCTCAAAAAACTCGTATAAGGCTGTATAGAACACTGATAGTCCCCGTTCTCACATATGGATCAGAGGCATGGACGCTAACGAAAACAGGTGAATTCGTTCTATCAATTTTTGAAAGAAAGGTGCTACACAAGATATTCGGAGCGGTCTGTGAGAACGGAATATGGAGGCGTAGATATAACTTTGAACTGCAGAATATCTACAAGCATACATTTGGTGGTAAAGATATTACCACTATAATTAAGCGAAACCGCCTGCAGTGGGCAGGACATGTAGCCCGGGCCCCTGAATCGAACACGATAAAAAAGATTCTAACAGCGCAACCCGTGGGAATGAGAAGACGGGGTAGACCGAAGCTGAGGTGGATGGATGTGGTAACACAAGATGCGGAGAAGATCGAAGTCGGCAACTGGAAAATGCAAGCAAGGGACAGAACAGAATGGCGTGGAAAACTTGAGAGGGTCAAGGCCCTCTAAGGGCTGTAGCACCAAGATGATGATGATGCTTGTAATTAGCATTATCGGTATACTTACTAATGTTTTTTTAATTACTAGCTCAAAATTCTACAGAAAAAATTAAAATAATCTGATTGAAGGGATTTCCCATAATCCGAGAAAATTATGAGGTGATTATTAAGTCCTTAAAATACTATTAAATTGAATCTTAATGACAAATATGCCACATATTTTGATTATATAAACACTCTAGTTACCCTAACACATTTATTCGTTCTTTGATTTTTAATAAAAAGGTCAAAATGTCATCCCAGACCAAACAAACTAAATTATCGGACAAAAAGCGTTTTGAATTATTTTTCACCATAAAAATGACAAATCTAGTCGCGAAATAGCATCCGCAGTAAACTGTAATCAATCTATAGTAATTAGAGTTATTAAGAAGTATGCTGAACAAGGAAAAATCGACGACAGACCGCGTAGTGGCCGACCAAAGAAAATTTGTTCGGGATGAAGCTGCGTTAAGAAGAACAAGTTTGGCAGACAGAAGTCTATTCCCCATTACAAGCTGTCTGAATCTATGGTGTAAGCGTGTACACTTCCACGTGAGAAAAATACTGCTTAGTTTTGGGCTTGGAGGATGTAAAACGGAAGAACCACTGCTTTCAGAAAGCAAAGATTGCACCGTTTGAAATTGGCCAAAAAACATCGAATCTGGACAGCAGAGCAGTGGCAGAGTGTACTGTTTACTGATGAATCCACTTTCAATATTAATAATCGTTCTGGAAATGTCTACGTCAGAAGATTTCCTGGTGAAGAATGTTTTTCCAAAATGTGTTCTTCCCACAATTAAAAATCCAACCTCTGTTACGATATGGGGTTGCATGTCCGCTCGAGGAGCTGGTCACCTACACATTGTCTCTGGGATGATTAATGCTACCAAATACACTGAGGTACTACAGAATAAGATGCTGCGTAGTGGAAAAGACCTATCTGACAAAGAAAAATTTATTTTTCAGGATGATAATGCTCCTTGCCATAGAGCAAAATTGGGAAATTGATAGGATGGACTGGCCAGCGCAATCCTCGAACCTCAATCCCATTGAGACTTTGTGGCAAAGGATATCAAACATCATTTCAAAAAGCAAACCCACAAATAAATCGAAATTAATCGAATCTCTAATCCACGCTTGAGATCACTGTATTTCCATTGAGGAACTGCAACAATTAATAAATTCCATGCCCAAAATATGTGAACCAGTTCTTAAAAGCAAGGGCTGGCCAATTAAATATTAAAATTAGTTTAAATTACTTCAATGTGATGTAACAATATCGTCTTGATGTAAGTAGCCTAATTTTTGTAATATTGAATAAAAAATTTTCCGAACTATATTTTTTTTATTAATCAAAATTTTTGGTGTGTTTCCATTTTATAATATTGTGTTTAAGTGCTTGTTTAATGTAGATAGTAAATGGTTAAAAAATATGTAAGGTAAATGCCTTAAACTTCTATTTTCATGTATTTGTTTAAGGTGATGCAGGACTTTTTAACACTACTGTATTTTCTTATAATATCTTAATGCAATTTACTATTTTTGTTGAGAATAAGCCACAAGTTAACTTTAAAATTAGGTTTTTTTGTTTTAATTTCTTTATATTCTATAAAAGTTATCTCCTCAAATCTGTACAGCTTCTATAACGATATTATCTTCTACCTGCACTTTATTTCTTTTAGTTTTCTTCAGTGCATTCCTTATTTCATCTGTTGATATATCAGGCATCAATTCCGACCCGTGGTTGACTAATCTTTTTCCTGGGGTGTATATTATGGAAGAATTAATTTTAAAAGAATTATGACAAATATTAAAATTAATGATGTGCTTAATGATATGTCGAAATTCAGATACATATTTCTTCGTCATTCATTAAGTATCCCTAATTTCATTAATGAAGTTACTATGTCCTGATTGAACCATTAGCTTGCTCACAGCCTATTCCTCACTCTCGCCTACTTCCTATAAAGATGTGCCGAGGAGGGAGATCCAGTAGGGCCTACAGAGCTGCTTTTGGTGTCAGCTCAGAGCCATGGCCCCTGTGATTCCAAGGCAAGCCAGTCTTTTAATAAATAAATTTGATTCGAAACAATAAATTTACTGAGATCCTTAGAAACTCAGTTGATAGTATGGAGATAAATAAAAATACATTAATAACAACGTATGATCTTTCAAAAGCTTTTTACAGTGTTTTAAGTGATTAGTGTAAACAATGGATATAAGAAAACTCCTGAATGATACAGTCTTTGCAATGAGTGTTGAATCTCAGGGTCTCTAAAGCAAGCGAGATGGGTCACTAAAATAAATCTTCCAGGTGACTCATACTCTCTGAACGGTATCTTACAAATGACCTCTTTACCATGAATTGTGGTAACTGTTATTTTGGCGATAGACATTGCATTCTTGTAAATTTAAATATAGTTTTATTAAAAACTTATTTCCTAGAAGCATATATTCCTTCTTTGGATCAAATATTGATTTATATGAAGTTCAGAAACTCGTAAGTTTTCACTATAGTAGTAAATTGTATATTATATAGTAAACATTTATATTTGTAAGGTTGTTATTGTTAAAAAAAAACTTACCGATATGGGCCAAAATGGAGTTGGAGCTAATTTGTCCAGTAAAGTTTTCAAAATAAAAGTCTTGTCATATTTATCACCATGTGGTAGCTGAAACAAGTCAAAAGTAAGAAAATGATATCAAGTGAGTAATAAAACAAAGTTAAGTGGCAATTATTGTGGTGTTTAGAGCACAATTTAGTATATCAATGTTTACAACTAATCTGCATTACAACTGCAGTATGATTTCTGAATTAGAGATTGAAACATCAATAAACTTATTTAACCTTTAATTGTGTATTTTGTTTTTTGTTTTGCTGTTTGTGAGATATGCCAGTACATTTTACTTTTATTATTCGCTTGCATTAATCGCTTCCATATTGTTTAAAACAAACATTTTAACATTTGACATTCTTTTTCTCAGGTAGGTGTAGCTTGAAAGATCTCTTATCTTGGAAGCAGCAGAAGACCAAGCGATAAGACAATACTTTGTAATATCATAAATGGGTTATGGAGATGGTCCCAACTTTTGAATAAGATCAGATTGTTTTTACTGCCTTATCCAACTAGATAAATGCAAACATTTCATGTATTTTTTCATCTATTCAATTATCATCATCATCTTGGTGCTACAGCCCTTAGAGGGCCTCGACCTTCTCAAGCTTTCTACGCCATTCTGTTCTGTCCCTTGCTTGAATTTTCCAGTTCCCGACTCCGATCTTCTCCGCATATTGTGTTACCCCATCCATCCACCTCAGCTTTGGTCTACCCCGTCGTCTCATTCCCACAGGTTGCATCTATTCAATTATGCACTCTTTTTATTCATACTAAGGATTTTGGGGTTAGCTAACTCCCCAAATTTATGATTTACATATGTTTGACAACTCAAGTTACAAGTGAAACATGTATATTTATTTTTATTTTGGATTTAATTAAATTGTACTTGTATTGTTATTTAAATAATCATATTTTGTAATTTTAACACCCTTTTGTCTGGTTTAGTATGTTAATTTAATTTAATATTAGGCTTGTACTGTTATTGTAATTACTTTTTCTCGATTCTAAAAAAAAGTATTTTCTCTTCTCTTTTTATAGAATTAGGCTCATCCATAAATATAAAATAAATAAATAAATAAATATTGAACTTACTGTAACTTTATACCAACTGGAGGGTCCTTCCAATAATTTTCTTTTTGCTATTGGAGCTGGGGAACCTTGTCTTCCTCTACCACCACCACCACCACCTCCACCACGATTTTTGTTCTTATTAAATCTGACATTCTTGCTCGAACCTGGACTAATTCCCATATCAATATCCTCATCTTCTAAATGAGAACGTATTGCATTGCTCCAGTCTTTGTCTCGTCTATCTGGTCTATCCCTATTACTTTTAAATGTGACTCTTCTATCTCTATCACTATTATTACGTTCTATAAAAACTACTAGAATATTAGAAAATAAAAAAAATATATTTGTAAATAAAAATAAAAGACAAAGTTATAAATATTTGTTAAGAATCATTTTTAACATTATTAAGATTATCTTATCTAATTGTAATTTACAATATTATTTATTTATAACATACAACTTTACTGAAATTTTATGCTGAAATTGTTGCAATTTTTGGTAAAAATGATTTGACAAAAAATCTTCATCTTTAGGAAAAGATGAATATTTGATGATCAACCACTTCGGAAATTTATTAGTATTAATAGAAAGACCAGAAAGATATTCAAAACATCTTTGGTGTAGTTGGACCTGGCACACTATGGCACTATGTAGGTGCACTATTGTCTCAGTTGTTTAACTATAGCTGATACTTTATTGGACTATTTAAGTTCAACAAATATTACATACTTGAGTAAAATATTAATAATTAATTGCCTACAATTAATATTGTATTTTCCACTTCCATTATCTAGTGCTAATTCTATACTAATAGTAAAGATTCCACTGCAGGATCACTATATTCATAACATAGTTAATCAAACTCATATTTTTATATATATTTAAAATTAGGAGAATACATTGATAATAAGTTGCCAGTCAAAAAGTGGCCGCAAATATTTTTAATTCAATTAATAGTAATTAATTTTTGAACAAGAATGTTATTTTGTTCATTTATTTTTTAAATAAAATACTCTGCTTGTGACACATACATTTAGGGTTAGATATACTTTGCATGAATACTCCTTTGTCCATTCTTTATAGAGCTTGTAGTCTCTATTCCATTGACTTGTACTCACATTTAAGCATTTCACTCAAAAACAGTTTAATGCGCTATGCAAAAAAGTTATTGTCAAAGAATACAATACTGTAAACAAGTTGGGACTTGCTGCATGCTCACATCTGACTGGCCCTCACCAAGTGCATGACTCATGCTCAGAGAGCTACCTGGACTAAGCAGAGAGCTGACCAGACTAAGTGGACACAGAATTAACTGAGGCCAAACTTACGGGAATCTACTATATACAATTTGAAATAAATAATTCTGGTATTTCAAATGGTTAAGAAGATTACAAAATCATTTTGAATAACTCATTGGGACATTCATGTATGAGGACCCAAACAGAGCCATAAACAGAATACAATATTTTTGAAAAAATTTTCAGAATGTAAGTATATTTGAATATCTTGTATGGAATAGTCAATAATGGGGATAAATTATTTACCATGAACCAAGAGGAGAAAGACATTTCCTAGAATGGAGAAATTGAATTAAAAATGTATGAGACACAAAAGTGTATATTTGAACAGTAGATGCTAAATAAAGTGGAAATTGAAATAAGGCAAAGAGTGTAGAATCATCTACTAAGATATACATTAATTACTATTTAACTGGGAATAAGCCACAATTAAAGATAAAAATACGTTTATTGATGTTTCAATTTCCACTTCGGAAATCATTCTCAAAATACAAACAGTAAATTAAACAAATTTTGTTTTTTGTTACATAGTGAAACATTCTTCTAATAATTTAATCCTTTCTTCTAATAATTTATCCTTGTAAAGAAAGGACAAAGAAATGCATTTATAAAATACCTTGTGAATGCGATCAGTTTTATTTAGGTGAATCATCAAGACCATTAAATGTTAGAATAAGTGAACATCAATCTTATATTAAAAATAGAGAATTTGATAGATCTCAAATATGTAAACACGCAGGGGATAATGAACATAGGGTTCAATGGAATAATTCAAATGTAGTCCTAAAAGAAACGGATGGCAAAAAAAGAAAAATCAAAGAAGCGGCTCTAATTATGCTAAATGAGGCCAATTGTGTCGCAAATTCCTTGGCGGAATGTAGTAGGATCTGGTTACCAATATTGAAAGAGGAAGTTATTAATAAGAAAATACCAGTATTAGATGTTTGTTGAAGGTAAACTAAATTCACGAAAAATACTTACAATGTCGGGATAGTATTATGAGGTTTTTTTCCTGGTTTTTCCCTCATAGTTTACTATGGAATCCCTAACAGGAGAATTTTACGGTCATCATATCATGTGTTTGTCTTTTTAAAGACAAATTACATGCTATGATTTTTTTCTGATGGATATTCTCAAGTTAAAGTTGATTTCATGTTATCGAATGAACTATCTTATAAGTAAAGTCGTCCCAGGAGCGTAACTCAACAATATTGGCAATATCATTTTAAAGTCGTCTACTTTAAAATGCATAATGTATGTCTGAATTGTCAATATAAATGAGTCAGATAAAATTAAATTATTAGAAGATTTTTTCACTATGTAACAAAAAACAAAATTTGTTTAATTTACTGTTTGTATTTTGAGAACGATTTCCGAAGTGGAAATTGAAACCCAATAAACATATTTTTATCTTTAATTGTGGCTTATTCCCAGTTAAATAGTAATTAATTTACAATGCCACAAGAAAATAGCTTCAGAACAATATTAAGATATACATATTTTGGAAGAGTTACCTATGTAACTGGAATACTAGGCAGTAAAATCACATTAGAATACCTTAAATTTTAAATAATCTATATAGATAGCAATGGTCCAATTAGTGATTAACTAAGGGATAAATCTCAGTAATTTACTTTGAAATGCTAGTATTTCTTATTTAGTTATCATCCCATTTTTGTGAAAGAATAGGAATATAAGTAAATGGTTTTTACACTAGACTATAACATTGCAAGCAGAATTACCAGCAATAGACTTTGTGCACATGAGTGGCAGAAAAAAATACTTGAATTCAGCCCATTTTTTATTGCCTTTGATAGTCAAAGCGCTGCTGGAGCTTAGCTATCAAACAGCAACTACAACTTAGAAGTACCTAATAGCTTGGAGCTGTTAGGGAAGCACAATAAAATGGGAGAAAGAACACTCCTCATTTTCAAGTTTTAGTAAGAAGTAAATTGGACACTTTCATCAGATCTCTCTGTAGGATAGGCAATGTGACAGAGCAACAAGCAGATTCTGAGAACATTAGAGGAAAAAACAGATATATTGCCTTCAATGCAGAGTAGTTGTATGCCAAGAGGGAATAAATTTCGCCCCGAAAAGGATAATAGGCTTTCTTGAAGATCTAGGTTTTATATTAAAACATAGATACAACGTGTATACAAAAGATCATTCAGAGCATCTAGAATACCAAAACACTTTTAAAATATACAATCTACTAATTTGCAAGTATTATTGTTTTAAGAAATTTGGATTGAAAATATATTATATTTGGTAGGTATTTGTGAAATTTTATCCCAGAAAATATGTAGAGTGGGGTGTTTGTATAATTTATTCCTTACAAAAAAGAATCGTTTGACTTATAAACGTAAAAAAAAAATTATGGAATCACATTTTTTGGTTTATAATAATTGATTATGCAGAAAAACTTACCATTATTATTACTCCAAGAGAGTGGTCTATTGCGATTAAAATGTTTAGGCATGTTTGCCTTTCAACGTAGATACTGTGTTAATCCCAATATATATGATCACAAATTTGAACTCAAATATGTTTTAATATCAAGACGATTTTAGAATCAAATACAATAATTCTATGAGATTGTGAAATCTTAAAACGCAAAACCACCTTCACTTTACCTCTTTATCTTAATAAACTTTGACGGCTTTGGCTTTGATATTCTTAAAATGATAGACCGTCAGCCGTCACTTGTAATTATGTCATACGTCATCTGTCTACAGTTGGCACACATGCATCGAGTTTAGAGGTGTGCTTATTAGTTCTTTTAGACGAACTAGTTCAACAGAACTATTTCACAAAAATGAACTAGTTCAGTGAACTAGTTCGCGAAAGAACTATTTGTAGGACCGACATCGAAATCCAACCCTTACAGAACTGGTTGCCAGATGTCTCGTCTCACTCATCGTTTACTTCGGTTTTCAGTCAGTCTTTCACTAGTTCACTACCGTACAAGTAGTTCGGAACTATTTCTTTCTTTCAGTCAGTCTTTCACTAGTTCACTACCGCACAAGTAGTTAGGAACTATTTCTTTCGATCGTATGTTTAGGTTTAAATGGTTTAAATTATTATATGATTAGTTAGTTTTTATTTGCAAAAAATTATTGAGATTTGTTTTTTATTAACCGTTTTAAATATAAATATGGTTCAAGTATGATTTATTTTTATATTTACGTATATTTAAACTCATAGGTATTTATAATTAGGTTATTTCTAAAAGAACCTTTACAAAAAAAATCAGTGAATTTTCTAGGAACATTAAATAACACATTTTCATTCTCACTTTTTTATTTCATTTCATTTACATAAAATTATATTTTATGTAAATGCCTCAATCATTTTAACCACAACTAAAATTTTTATTTCAAAATTACAATACAAGAAACAACACAGCATGGCAGCATCCAAGCCAATACATGGGCATAAGATCCGAACCATTATGACATTAAGGTAAGACTTTATGTTATTGTCACATTCATAAGAATTATGAATCTGTTATCTGAGGCTAATCGGCTTTTTTTTTAAACTAGTTAGTCCATCCATTCACAAAATAATAAATATATGTTCTAATTCATTCATTCATTATTTTCTTCTTTAGAAGTCGAGACATAATTTATAATGCAAATCGTTCGCAGTGAACTAGTTCTATGAAAATTAATGAACTAGTTCAATTAGTTCAGTTGAAAGAATCGTTCATTAGAACTATTTCGATGGTGAACTACACATCCCTAATCGAGTTAGAATCTAACTCGATTCTGCTCGATGCACACATCCACACATGGTACATATTTTTTTTTATGTACTACATAGATCCCGATGCCTTACAAGCATCGAGTAAAGGTCGATTAAGACACATCAGTCACGTCTCGTCACAGTCCTGGCGCCGAACCGAACAATCCGTCATACAAAATATTCTTTAATAGAAATATGGCGCCGGCATTCACATTCATCAGACGACGAACAGTTTGCCAGCTGTCAGATAGTTGATAGTGCTGTGACCAAACAGGACCGGTCGACCTTAAATGAAAGTTGACCAACTCTTCCGTTACAGTGCGTTTCGCTTACGTCAGAGAACTACGAACGTAACGTCCCGTCATGCGTTTACGTTCATTTAAGAGAAGAGTACACAAAAGTCTGTGTTGATCTTTTTTCAGTGCGCCTGCGTCTACAGTCCGTCAAACTATAAATCCAGCTTAAAGACTCTCTTTCCTTGTCTAAGCCCGATGCACGTCAGAGATCTAAGTTGACACTGTTGTCAAAGTACAAAAATTGCTGATTTAATTTTAAACAATTCAGTAATAAGCAGACATACAATTTCATTAACCTACATATTAGTAACAACACCCTAAGAAGTTTTCACTTCTGCCGGTACTCCCCAAGAGCAGGGCATTTTTTAGAAAAGCTTTGTTTCATCATCAGTTTAAGTGTATAAAAAATAAATATTGATAACCTACACTAAACTCTCATTGGGCGTACTTACTGTGCAACAATCGGCAAAAGCTCGTTTTCAACATTATCTCATTAAAAGGCAGTTTATTGTTAGTTAACCAGTCTTTTATTTAAGTCTAGGTTGTGTCGCCAGAGCGGCCAATCAGGACTGACTGCTATCAGTCTGGCCAGCCAATAACAAACGATTTTATTAACTACGATTAGTATTCTGTGACTACGTTGTTATTGTTATTGGCCTTCTAACGGAAGATTGCTGAGGAGTTGCAAACAAGAAATACAGAAAAAGGCAGTGCAGGCGGTAGTCGAAAATTTCCGATAACTTGCTTTGTGTCGATATTTTGTCACATGTGTTTACTGATTCGTCCCGAAGTCATCACGACCAACACTTCTATCACATTTTGGACGAAATCGACTTTTCATCTTTTTTCGAAATTTTTGGGACTTCGAAAAATTTTCACTTTTTTTCATTTTTACTTTTTTTGCTTAATTAGTCTTAGGTGTGATAACTACATCGAGCAATAAGACAGAAGAGGGAATCTAATCCTTATGAAAAGGAGACCAAAAAAGTGGCCTCTGATGGCGGACATATCCGGAAATGCGAATGCGCGAAATTTAAATTTTCCGACACTTATCAACAGTAGCTATATAATATTTTTCAGAATGTGTCTTAGACGAAAAAGTTTTAATTAATTATTAATGATAAGAGTCTAAAATGCGACACAATTGTTAAAAAACTTCAATATAAATAAGATTTCATGTGACATTTGGGACAAACAATAACATAACCCAACTAAATTTGATGTCAAACAAGGAGAGAGACTCTCTTTCCTTGTTTAATGTGGCCTCTAAAGATCGCACTTCCTGTCTAACAATATGTTTGCCCCCACTACCTTTACATTCCCTCTATTGTCTTTTTGCTCGATGGATAACTAATAACTTTATCTTACAGATTCTTAGTTCTAAGACTAATTAACACTTTTATTGCAGATTCTTAGTTTTAGTTAACATTTATTTGCATTTGTTTTAAAAAGGTATTTCCCTCTAGCTTGTGGGCGTATACGGCCTATATGTCCACGGACCGTGACCCTTACCTGCTCCGGTCCATTTCAGCTATGGATAGTGCGACTGGACCACCTTCCCTAATTTCCGCGGGTTCATAGGCCAGCGACAGATGGACTACCTATTTATTTGTCCCATAAAGAGTTGGAAATATTGGTTGTTTTAATCGTTTGAGGAATAAATAAGGATTTTTGGTTCGTGAATTTGTGAAGTAAGAATATCAATGTTTGATTAAAACCTTAATTATTTTTTACTGTGTTTCAAGGTATTTTGTTCTTGTTTTTATCGGTGTTATTATAAAATTATTCCATTAAATATTGAATTTATTTACGAAGTTAAAAAATATTTAAATTTTTATTTTTATCCCCTATATATATATATATATATATATATATATATATATATATATATATATATATAAATATATATATATATATATATATATATATATATATATATATATAAATATATATATATATATATATATATATATATATATATATTATATATATATAAAGTCTATTTAAAACCTCCTTTGAGAATATGAATCCTACACCATTACAATGATAATTGCTTCCTTCTCCTGAATAATATACTACATGATTATCTAAATTGCATTTCGATATAAAATTTGACCAAGCGGGAGTTTCTTCGCACCCCTGCCTCATTCCCGTATTCGGGGCCATCATTTAATTCTCTTCAGCCAGAATGATATTCCTGCGAAAATTAATTAAAAAAATCCATTATAGCGGCAAATAAAGAAAATGATTTCACCGAAGGGATGACAATGCACACACATTAAAAATACGTACAGATCATAGAAAAGATATTCTAAAAATAAATTTCATAGCAAGGCAGGTAAAATGTACACTGTTATTGGGTATATACAAAAAACTAAAACGCTTTCAAAATAGACATTTACCGCCATACAAGGCGGATAAACAATCACATGCATATTGATTCTAAGTTTATACAATTTTCATTAACAAAAATAGTTAGACAAATAAAGCAAGCGAGATATTTCAAAAGTATTTTATATTCAGTCAAGTTGAATTTTTCAAATTTGTTCCCTATTTTTTTCTCTCCGGACAATAGCTGCTCTCTATCTATTCTTCAATTCTCTAAATCTTCGTAAAAGCTTGATTGAATTTTGACAATGTTTTTCTATCTCCTAAAATTTTCACTCACACTGGGCCTATAATAGTTTCTTAATATTGGTCTGAAGCTATTTCATTGTGGCATCTTAAAGCAATTACTATTTTAAGAGGAATAAGCCAGAATTGAAGTTTAAAATTAAGTTTTTGACGTTTATTTAATGCTTGTATTTAAATATTAATGTTTGTATTTTGGGAACGATTTCTGAAGTGGAAATTGAAACGTTAATAAACTCAATTTTAAACTTCATTTGTAGCTTATTCCCATTAAAATAGAAATTGCTTTAAGATGTCACAAAAAATAGCTTCAGAACTTCAATTATCTATTAAGATCATTATGAGTTCGATCTGTAGGTTATTCTACCTATAAGTCTTTTTCTTAATTTATGACCAGAAAAACAAATTTGAAATGGGTTCATATTATTAGATTAACGCATTAAAGAGGTAAGAAGAAAAACCACGTAATAAAAAATAGTAAACTTTTTATTGGAATAATCCGAAATAATTCAAATCACATTTATTCAAATCTTTACATATTCATTGATCTAGCGCGCTACAAAACTCATTTGCCTTAATCAGTGCTTCTTTTTGTACATCTATTACATCATTAAGTAATTTTTTCCATTGTCGGGCATACAAAATTCTATCGCTACCATTAGAGTCGACAGAATTGTATAAATCGCATGCCATTTCATGGAAGTCGACGCAACTTTGTATGACGTTTCGTTGACTTTCACGTAATTCCCATTCTAAAGACGAAAGTTGTAGCCGTTTTTCTTCCTCTCTTAAAAACTCCTCTTCTATGTCAAATCCGTCTTCTGCATTTTCATCATCTTCTGGTTCAGGAATGGGTATTATTAGGTCGTCGTCCATAATTACATCACTGGCTATTAATTCTTTCACCTGCAAAATATTAATACAGAGTGGATGTGTTTAAATAGACATTTACAATTCGCAAGGCAATAATTATACTAATCTGTTCTATAAATATATTTTCCTTAAAATTGTTTCCTTGGGGTATTTCAGCTTTTATCAAATATGCCGTTAGATAAAAAACCTTTTTAGGGTCACCTAGGTATTGTTAGCACATTTTCTACAGATAGGAGATATTGGATGGATATTTTGGTTCAAGGCTGATGAAAAAGACATATTATTATTCTCAGAAGAATTTGTTTAATTAAAATTGGAAAAAATATTAGTAAAATAATAATAAAAAGAAAACGTTTACAATACAAATGCAAAAAAATGATATAAGATTCTCAATTGCCCTTATAGGGAAGTGAGTTATAATTGGCATGACAATCCTTAGGAATAACACTCTTTAGTTCTTGTAAGAGCATCCATTTGTTCTTTGTTAATTTCAACTTTTCACTATACATCTTTGAATAATGTTCTATGCGAGCCTTTGTCATCAATCTACAAGGTGGATTGAGCCAAGGATATTCGTATCAAATACTCGTTATCATAATCGTTATCATAATCACCTTATTTAGTTTAGACATTTCTTTGTCATGCTCCTTCTCTTGTTTCGTTTTTTCTTTCATAGCAACATGTTTTTGTCAAGCTTCATCATTTAAATTTCCATTCACATGTTCTATCCATGACTATTATAAAAACTGTCGAAAACATCTACCAAAACAACAAAATGTTGTTTTGGTACATGTTCAATTTAAGCATGGAAGAAATCATCAAAAGCATTAAAAACCGAACAGGATACATACTAAGAAACAAAGAAATAAAAATACTCTGTTACGAAGACGATGCAATATTGATAGCTCAAGATGAAGATAGTCTGCAAAGACTGGTCCATAAATTTAACATTAGAGCAAGAGGAGTAATGGAAATTCAATACCTTGGAATTACACTGTCCAGCTTTTGAGACCTGAGCAAAGAACTGAGAGATTAAGTACAAAAAGTAAATAGACTGGCAGGATGCCTTAATGGTCATTAAGGCATCTTATATACTATATGAGGACCTTATAATAAACGGTGAGCCACTTAATAACATAAGATATGCTGACGACACCGTCCTTTTGGCAGGAACACTAGAAGAACTGCAACACCTTGCTGAACAACTAAATATATATTGCAACGATTATGGACTAAAAATCAATTTGAAGAAAACAAAGTTCATGGTATTTACAAAAGCACAAAACATCAAAGTTAAGCTAGTACTAGACAATACAGAAATTGAACAAATATCTTCGTACAAATACCTTGGAGCATGGATCACAGAAGATACTGATCAGACAAAAGAAATAAGATGCCGCATTGAAATTGCGCGGTCAACTTTTAATAGAATGAGAAAACTTTTTTGTAATCGCGATATCAATATATCGCTCCGGATAAGAATGCTTCGATATTATATTTTCTCTACCCTTTTGTATGGAGTTGAAGCTTGGACACTTAAAAAATCCAACATTAAAAACCTAGAAGCATTCGAAATGTGGTGTTACCGACGCATTTTGAAAATATCATGGATGGATCGCAAAACAAACGAACAAGTTCTCGAACAACTAGGAAAACAATGCGAAGTTTTAAATTCCATAAAGATCAGGAAATTGGAATACTTGGGGCACATCATGAGAGGTGAAAAGTACGAACTACTAAGGAATATAATGCAGGGTAAAATCAAAGGTAGAAGAAGCGTAGGAAGACGTAAAATCTCGTGGCTACGCAATCTCCGTGAGTGGTTTGGATGCAGTTCAATTGAACTATTCAGGCGAGTAACCAATAAAATTATAATTGCCAGAATGATTTCCAATCTCCGATAGGAGTGGAACTTGAAGAAGAAGAATATACTATATGGCAAAACAGACACTGAGATGAAGTAAGAATTTATAAAGCCAGTGTCATGTCTCAGAAACAAGACCCGACATAGCCACAAAACAAACGCTACTGAAAACAGCAGAGATGAGAGTACTGAGAATAATTACAAGAAATATGCCGAGGGATATTAGAGGAAAGCGAAGTGAAGATATTAGAAGAAAATGTAACATATAGTGTATAAATGAAAGGACACAAAATAGAAAAAAAGAATAGAATAACCACATAAGCAGAATAATGTCAGTGCAGAGTTGTCGTGAAAATAACAAGAGATAAGTCACAAATCGGCAGAAGAAGTACCGGAGGACCGCGCAAAAAGATGGAGTGGCAACCTTTCATAGAGGTATTAATCCGCCAATGAACAAGCAGAATTGCTTATAAAGAGGAAGAGGAAGAAGAAGAAGCAGAAGATGTTTAATTCACAATTTACTCTAATCTTTCTTGGGCTGGTATAAGCTTAAGGCATTCATTTTGAAATATTTCTCAAATTCAAATCTCCCTAAAGCTTCAATTTTGTTCTTGTTGCACTCTGCTTCATGAACCCTTAAAAACTTTTAAGGTAATTTTATAGAAGTAAAATTCTCCTTCAGATAAAGCTTATTAGAATCTTTCCTTACATAATTCGACGGTTGTTTAGTGAGTTTGTCAAAAAATTTGTAAAAAATTTTTTTGACTCTGTGGTTTTTTTTTCTATACTGAACTTATTCAAGTACTTAGTTTCAGATTGCATTGCGTATTACGATTCTTTTAGCCAATTTGGAACGATAAAAGAACGTAAGGCAAGTGTATTCAAAAACATGGTCCTGCAGACAATAACTTTCTCATTTGCATTGTTTATCGAGTAACGTAGAGTTCCCTCTCTTCTGCTTGAGTCTCCTTCTGTCGTTAACTTAACCACACAATGTTATTCGACATGCGAACAAACATAAATGTTCCGTTGGTTCCAATTTAGCTTTTCCTCATTTCTTCTGCGAACTGTCTGCAGTTTCTCTTGGACAATTTTTCACGTAATTTAGAGACACATGTGGGCCCCATTTCTACATTATCTTTGTTTCTAGTGAAACCAACGTAAGCCTTACCCTTAATCCATAGCATTTTATTTCGCTTCCAGTCACTTTGATCTGCATTCTTCTTTCTTTTTCTTCCTTCATCCATATTTCCATAATCAGAAACTTCAGTCATATCGTCAACGTCTGCATTGGATATCTGCTCCTTTTCATTCTCAGGCATTGTCAACTAAAGGTCTGTAGTTTCATCAATGTTTTCTTCTGCATTTGTAATTAGCATTTCATCATTAAGTTCAACGCTATCTAAGACTTCTAGTTAGACAATACCTTCAAAATTATATGAATCTTCTGTTCGGAATTTGAAACTTGTACTTGGTTCTTCATAAATAACCACAGGCATTTGTTCAATTAAGGTTTCATCAAAAACTGCCGAGTATGTTATATTTTCTCTATTTTATTATAACTATTGAGATATTAGGTTATGTCAGCTGTTTTCACATGGAATGAGATAGGAGGTATTGCTTTAGATAGAATATTCACTGTTGATATTTATTTCGACTTGTGAGATTGCTTGAACGTGTGCAGTGCAGTGAAATTTTAAAGAGAATGCTCCAAATAACACATTTTCGTGCAACAGTTCGACGATATACTCGTAGAAAAAAGATAGGTAATATGGAAAATTATTATTTTATATATTATTTTTAGCCTAGCTTAACTGCTTGTCCGTAATTACGTGTTATTATAAAGTGATTAAACAAAATTATTTTTTAAATATAAATGGAAAATAATTCTTTATTTTGAAATTAATTAACATCAGTACTTCTGTTTTATGACAAAGGCACCGATATTTTTCTTATGTAAAAGTGGTTTCAGTTTGGTTATGCTAATCAAAAGTTCTCATTGCTCAAAGACTCAGAAATCAATTGTTGAGATGTTTTATTTTTCTTTTAGCGAAGCTTCTATAATGGCGTTATATTATTTTTTTTTCTATAGGAAAATGCTGAGGCGAGCGTCACAGAACTAGCGCCACAAGATGGCGTCGTCACGGCTACCGTCTTAAAGTAGCGGTTCTTCATATCGATTCACTACGATCAATTCGTTCTTAGTCATCATATATTTCTTCTAAGCAGGTTTAAAATAAATACAGCATGAACAATAACTAACAAAATGCAGACATTAAATGAGAAGTAAAAAATTAAAAGAATATTTGTCAATAAAAGGTTCGAATCGTAACAAATGTCAAAATTTAAAAGTCGTCCGATTATTTATTAACAAGAATAAATCATCTGTTTAAATTTTTAACAAACTTGCTGTTTTAAAATAATTTCATATAGATACAATTATTAGAGGAAAGGCTGCAAATATGGGCTGGTCTTGTAATATGGGCTAGGTAGATTTCATAGCTATTCATTGCAAATCTCTACATTTTGACTATTGAAAACGGTATTTGGCGAAGCTAAACTATAACACTGATTTCAAAAAAAAAACGTCTGTGTCACGTTGAAGCTTTGTAATCAGTCTTTCATATACACTAATGAGTTTTCTTCAAATTGACTACTTTTAGACATAACCTCTTTTGTTATGCAAAGCAAGTGTGTTTACAATATGGACTATGCCTCTGTTTTCATTATGGGCTAGTGTCCCATATTTAGAACAATGTAAAACATACTTTAATTATTTCAGACTGCCAAAACAACAGCTGAAAGAAGATAAAAAAAGAAAAAAATGGGATGAGAGAGATATGGAACGTGCAATTATATGTGTTAGGTAGCACGAAATGGGTACGCGAAAGCTGCAAAAATGTCCCACTTTTTACGTTACAACGTTCTGCAAGAAAACTTTAACTAAAGCCAATTAAAGTTGCTCAAATAAAGTTAGGGCGTAAATCTGTCTGAGGGAATGATTTTGAGGAAAATGGAAGCTAAATTTCATGGATTAACCAGAAAAATCTTAGGAGGATGGCATACGTCTTAGCTTCTAGGAATAATATCAAACATCCATTTGGAGGTAATACGACAGGGAGAGCCTAGCTAAGGCTTTACCTGCAACGCCATAAAGAGCTATCAGTACGTAGACCAACGGGAACATCATCTTCACGAGCAAGAGGCTTTAACAAAGAAAATGGCCACCAGTGTATATGTTTACTTTTAACACACAATGTACTTATAACTCTGCAAAAACTAAATATATACTGACCATATATGCATCCTTCTACGCTACTGACACGCTTCTTGGTAAAAGTCATAACGAGAGCTAAACGATAAAATAAATGTAAATCATCACGTGATGACTCATTTTATTTTTTATTTGCTGGACTATAATTCTCCTCCATCGACGTTTTAAGTTTGAACTACACGCTTTGATTTAAATGGTATAAATAAAATGACGCATGTGCAAAGAATAATTGGATCTATAACAATTTATTATTAACAAGAGAAATCATAAGATTGCCTACTTGGCGAAACTCGGCAATGGAATCTATCAATGAATCAATCAATCAAGGGAATCAATCTGTCTGCTTTGCAAATTGTAGAAAGCACAGTGATAAAGATTTGAATTCAGTTTCGCCAAGTAGGAAATCTTATTATTTCTCTTGTTGTTATTAGATGTCGTTGTAAGGTCTGTAAATAATTATTGCGATAATGAATGTCCTACGACGGGATAGATTTTGTTTCGATTTAGAGCAGCAGCATATGCCGCTCAGATGGACCTAAAACTGTTGAAATACGTATAAGCAGCTTGCCGCTACCTTGCATCGAAAAAAAATATAATACCATCATTATGATGTAATATATTAAAATATTGTTTAGGCTATGAAGAAGAAAAAGGAGTTACTCGTAAATGAATAAAAGTAACTCATGTTTGTGTTAATATATGTACTTATTATGTATATAATTCCTTTGTCACCTTGACTATCCGCCACATAAACATAAGGAATAATTACCCTATCAGCATATCTTAAGGTGTTTAAAGTATGGTCTACTGAAAAATTTCCAGGTGATATTAGAGCTATCATGCACGTTCGAGAATTTTCTCCGATGAAAGAATCCCTTAAAACTTGAGTAAGTTTACTACCTCTAAATGGAAGATGAGCTCCTTTTCTTCCTAGAGCTCGTATACATTCTTTTAATGCCAACAAACTTTTGTTAATATCGGCTCCTACAAAGAAAAAACAAATCACGACTTTCGTTAATAGTAACACATAAAAAATTAATTCGTATTGACTTTTTCATAAATAATCTTGAAATCACTTTCAGCTAGGAGTTATCTAGTAAGTAAGCTAGAGTTATCCGAGTAAGCTCGGGGCCGGTGCTTATATGCAGTTCAGTACCATTTTTTTAATGTTGTTAAAGGTGCTTTAATAACATACTCTATATAAGGATTTAATTGTTATTTTGTATTATTTATAAAAATATATTTGGACAGTGACATACATTTTTTACTAGGGATTTTGATGATACTATCTCCGAAGCTGTGGGTTTTCAAATTTTAATAATAATTATAATTTTTAAGTAAAAGTATCTTGTTTTGTTTACATTACTTGTTACATATAAAATTGTTTAGGTACATTTGTTTTTTACATTTACAAAATGATTGATGATGAATAAAATCAAAAAATCAGATTAGATCTCATTAGATTGCACTTTTTTTAACATACGATAAACATAGTAACATTTTAACACATGGAGTAAAAATTTATCGTTTTAACAGAGATAAATTTTAATATACAGAGTCAACATTTATCGTTAAAATTATCGTTACCCCAGAGTTTCGTCGTTTCGTCTAAATTACTAAAGAAACGTAGCGGTTAGTACTTCTAGGTTCTTTTTCATTCTTCTGAGGATCTCCTTATCTGTAAATCGGTTAGTCCACAGGATTTTAAGTATTCTCCGATGTATTCACATCTCAAGTGCTTCCAATTTTTGCACCTATCTTCGTTTAAGGCCATAGATGCAACACCATAAAAATTGACAAAGAAGACGTAGCATCGCAGCATTCTTACTTTTATAACAAGAGAAAGGTTGTTGCTCTAGAAGGTGTATTTGGGAAAGTATGTACTATTTCTTCTTATATTTTTACATTTAATATCTTTCTTTTAGTGTACTATAATGTGATCTAATTCAATGCGGTATTCTAACGACTTTGTTAAAATATATTGGTTTCTGGTATTTCGTAAAATTGTTAAACTGGCTATTTCATTTATTATGTTTTAAGTACGAAGAATTTTTTCTTTCTCTTTTGTATTTTGAGTCACAAATATAGAAAAAAGTGTAAAGTTTCGTATTACCGTGACAATTAAATTATTGCCATTCAAAATCGTCCTACAATAGGGTTGATTTATGGGATGCTCTTGCTCCACGAGCTGTTGATCACTCAACGTTTACAGGGATTCTTTCTAACCGTCTCAAGTCTCAAGATACACTTCTTCACAAGGCAGCGAACGAAACGCATCCAATTTGATCGGTTCTCGTCCTATCGAGCCTCGGCGTCACGACGGTCAACGCTGCACATGAGTTACGAATACATCAATATAATCAAAGGGTAAGTCTGCATTCTTTGTACAGACAAAAATAATGAGTAAGGCTAGTTAATTTCGTTATTTATTCACAATTGATAGTTGCTATTTTTTCGCTAATTTGTTTACAAACAAAATATTGCATTTTTTCTCCTTTATTATTTATCCAATATCATTTAACCAGCGACCTCTAAGTTTTATAAAAAAACAAGGTGGATCTAGCTTTTTCGATGCGTGCTCTTATCTCCTGGTTGTTGGTCCATTCTTCATGTATTGGTCATATATGGTGCCAAAGTAGTTGTAGTGCGTCACTCTTTCTACTGGAATTTGGTTGACATAGAGTTGACCTTCTGTTATCTTTTTCTTGCTAATTATCACGAACGTGGTCTTTTTTACGTTTATATTGAGTACATATTGTAGCAAAATTAAATAAAACGAGCGATTCGAATTTATATAAATATATTTATTTATAACTTTACAGTTCGGTATTCTCTTATCAACTAAACTCACTCCTAAGATCGTTACATATATATACCAAAGTTACTATTTTCTAGAAAGTTCCCACTTCTAGGCGTATACGTGACCGATTGTTCTCTTGCCTTCGAGGGATCTATCCATCGATGGTTCTCGATGCCGAGATGCTTCGAGATGCAAATGTTAGACGGGCCGCGCTGAATGCATGTTCGTAACACTGCTTCCCTCTTAAATCTGAGCGTCTCGATCAGCAACTCTATATGTAGGCCCAGGATGGCGGAATCTACAGGACTCTCCAGCTCTGCATGAACCCCTCAGAAAGAAATAACAGTCTACTGTCTTTGAAGGACACGATCTCTTCGGATTAGTACAACACACAGTAATTCTTACGCCGGTTTCTCGGAAGATCACTTCAAGCATGCTTCTGACAATCTTCCAATCCAGATTATCTACTTGACTACTATCTATCCTGACTTCCTGGTCACCATATACAGCAAAGATCGAGAACCATCTTCTAATCTCAATACTCTTCCAACTTTAGGCTGCTGGTTTTTTAACTCGTCCAAACGACCGAACTTCTTATAAAATACAGATGAGATTCCTTTAGTCATCTCAAGATCTTGGGCAACACAGTGGGCTAGAGAGACGTTATGCGGAACACTAAAAAGATCCTGCTGAACTTCTGTCGTCACGACGAATCTAGCACTCTTTCTCTCTGCGTAATTTGACATAAACTCCTTAAAGCTTGGTCGCCGATCATCTTTGATCTTATTTTGAAGGGTTCTGACTTCTTCGGTTTCATTTGAGCCAGCATAAGGTGCAAGACGATTTATGTGAACTACTTTAGGTTTACCTTTCGGCAACTTCTTATTTCGGTATATTACGTCATTTATTCTCTTTTTAATTTCATACGGACCCTCCCATTGTCTTTGCAGTTTAGGAGACAAGCCGCGACGACGTTGTGGATTATAAAGCCAAACAAGATCACCTACTTCATAGCTTTCATTCTTGCATCGAGAATCGTATTGATCTTTCATTTCTGTCACTGGCTAACTGGATGTGTTGTCGGGCAAGTTCATGAATGTTGTTCATTCTTAACTTTAGGCGGTCGACATAATCTTCGCTTGCAACATGTTCTTCAGAAGGTCTGCAGCCAAACTCTAGGTCGCAGGGCAAACGAACTTCACGACCTAACATCAGGCAGGTTGGAGTCTGGCCTGTAGTTTCATTCACGGCCGAGCGGTATGCCATTAAGAATAAATGAATGTGCTGATCCCAATCTCTTGGGATGATGTTTTGATACAACTTTGGACCGGTGTTTACCCATCGTTCGGTTCATCCTCTCGACCATTCCATCTGATTGAGGATGCAGGGGTGTCGTTCTGGTCTTATTGACACCAATCAATTTACAAACGTTTTGGAAAAGGTTTGACTCGAAGTTTCGCCCTTGGTCGGAGTGGATCTCCAAGGGAACACCAAATTGGCTAAAGAATTCTTTAACAAGTACCTCTGCTACGGTAGCAGCTTCTTGATTTGCTATCGCATAGGCCTCAGTCCATTTCGTAAAATAATCCATGGCTACCAGGATATATTTATTTCCATCATTCGTTTCTGGAAGTGGACCTGCAATGTCGATTGCTACTCTCTCCATAGGACTACCAACATTGTACTGTTTCATGGGTGCCCTCTTTTTACCAACTGGACCATTACTAGTTGCACACAGTTCACATTTCCGGCACCATCTTCTTACATCATCTTTACAGTTCACCCAATAGAACCGTTCTCAAACCTTTTGCAGAGTCTTCGTAATACCAAAGTGTCCACCTGATGCACCGTCATGCAACTGACGCAATACTTCTGACACTTTACTTTTAGGTACAATCAACTGAAGCTTAGTTTCTGTACCATCATCGTTCTCAAAGGTTCTATACAGAAGATCATCTTTCAGCACTAGGCAATTCCATTGGCTCCAGTAACACTTGACTTCGGGACTACATGCACTAATGTCTTGCCAAGAAGGTCTTTCACTTCGACGCACCCAATCCAATACTCTTTTTATACATGGATCATCTGCTTGAGCGTCTTGTAGCTGTTGAGGCAATGATTACGATTTTCACTGTATGGCCGTCTTGATTGAACATCAGCATTTGAATGACTTTTTATAGCGTGCTCCATCTGTTCTAGCTTTCTGACTGTTGTATTATTTTCTTGCACTTTGTGGCGAATGTGACCTTCGTTGTTACCACTCCAACATCTGGGTTCACGTCTCTTCGGCATCATGTTACGAACTACTTTCCGTACGATTTCCTCGTTCCTTCGTTAGTCACTCTCTTCAGAGGTTCGTACTTGATAGCTCCGTGAAACTCGACTAGCTATCTCATGTTCCAAGGCAATGGCGAGCGCTTCATCTAAAACTTTCGGTCTTGCTAGTCGTAAAGCTTTCTGTAATTCACTTTCTTTTAACCCATTGACGAAGGTATCTACAGCAATTTCTTCCAAAATGTTGTCTGGTACCTCCGGATAAGGCAACCGCACTATACGAGCAACATCTGCTTCAAACTCTTGCAAATTCTCACTTGCTCGTTGAGTTCTACTTCTTAGTTGCGCTTTGTAGACTTGTTGTAGATGGGCATCTCCGTAACGTTTGTCTAGTCGAGTAAACAAGGTCTGGTAACATTTTTCTTGACCCTTAGGAATCGACCTTAGGATATCTGCAGCATCACCTCGTAAAGCAGCAGTCAAGGAAACAGCCTTTTCTTGTTCTGTCCAATGATTGGCTGTCGGATAGCTTCAAATTGTCTAAGGTATATGGACCAAGAGGACTTTCCATCAAATGGTGGTAATTTGAATCTCATATTATGTGTCATTTCGTCTGTAGATGATTCTTCTTTCACTACCGGATCTAAAGCTACCGTATTAATTGGTGGTAGCACTTTCGTGTTAGTTATCATGGTCTCTAGCTGTTTGATCTTCTCTTCTACTTTATCGAATGTTTTAGAAATTTCTTCAAATTTCTCATTGTTCTGATTACATATTTCTTTAATAATTTGTGAAGTCTCGTCGTTTTGTCTAGCTACTTCTTTAATAATTTGAGACGTTTCATTGAATCTTTCGTCATTTTTTTTTGGAAGTTTCTTCAATCATTTGAGAGACATTTTCAAATTTTTTATCATTTTTTCTGGAACTCTCTTCGATCTTCATTAAAACTGCTTCTTCTGCTGATTGAAAATGGAATGTCTCTGGGTTATCTCCATTCTTTTTAAGAACATTCTTTAGTCGTTCTTGGAGGATCTTTTTGGACCCGCTGCAGTCTTCATCACGTTCTTCTAGTTGCTCACGCAACTGTTTCACTGAAAGTTCTACTAGCAGCATCTTTGGTCAGGCACATACGTACTTTTTAAATGTTCTTTCGTACAACGATCACTACTGAACTACGCGGATGGTCCCGACAAACAATGCTTTTCAAAAGTTCAAGTCTTTTTCAAAATCACTGTTGAATTTATATTCAAATCAATTGTCCTCACACGGTGACACTATGAATATATTTATTTATAACTTTACAGTTCGGTAATATCTTAACAACTAAACTCACTCCTAAGATCGTTACATATATATACCAAAGTTACTATTTTCTAGAAAGTTCCCACCTCTAGGCGTATACGTGACCGATTGTTCTCTTGCCTTCGAGGGATCTATCCATCGATGGTTCTCGATGCCGAGATGCTTCGAGATGCAAATGTTAGACGGGCCGCGCTGAATGCATGTTCGTAACAATATCGAAATATGTGATTTTGTTTATAAGGACTTAATACGACGTTAATAAGACTTGTATTGAGAACAAAGCCTCCCTCGTACCAACAGCATTTATGAACAGAAACTGATTGGGAGAAATTTACTTTTACACAGCTTGTAAAATTTCTTATGGATTGTCTTTAGGAACAGGTATAGGGAATGACTCATGAGGCTTATCGTACGGCGAATAATGTTTCCATAATCTTGGAATCATCAGTTAGAATTCCTTTCTGTCTCGGTCTTAGTCAACTTATGAGTTATTTAACTTTCCTATGTACATTGTGACTATCGTACTTTGACCACAAATTCTCAATTTCTTCGCATCTTTTAATTGCTTCCTTTTTTCGCTTTTCCGCAAAATGTTAGTATTAAGTAATTTAATAGGATTAACAAGTAGTTGATCTTTTTCGATACAGATTATCAACCCTATCTGATATATTGTACATACCTTCTATTTGTGTTTGTCGATTTGATTTATTGTTGTCGGCACCTCGTTCATTTCCGGCTAAATCTATAAGAGAGAATTTCCCTTCGGCATTTTTTGAACCGTTTCTTCTTAAAATTATTTGAAAGACAGCATGTGATCTTGAGGAATTGGAATTAGCTGAAGTTTGACCGGAAGTCCGTTCCAAACTTCCTCTCTGGATAAGATCTAATACATGTTCTACCTAAAAGCAAAATAGTAATTATGAAGTCAATATTATCGACACTAGTATTATTTTTGGGCAATTTTGAAAAGGTGCATTTTAGTGATTATTATAACACATAATGGTAAATTTGCACCAAGGTCAAAAAATATAGAGAATGTTAAAAATAAAGGAAAAATTTCAAAACTTGAACATATAATACCTATCTTTGAATATACAAAAACAGAAGAGCAAACATTTAAATATAAAGTAAAAATAGCAACTAATAAATAAGGAAAATACACAGTAGCTACATAATTGCATTTCTAATAATATAATGACCTAGGTTAGAAGAAGATATTATATGTATAAAATATTTAACCAGAGATGATAAAAATATGAATAATTTGAAACTTATGCAGCAAATAACTTATATAGGAAAGAAGAAACAAAAAGGCACGATTAAAATGAAACCAAAGGGTTATCACTGAAGGAATTATAAAGAATGCATACTACTAAGCAAACTAAAATATAATATTATATAATAAAATAGATAAAAAGATAATACAAATGTCAGTCTAGGTCGTGGATAAGAAACAAAAAGATAGAAATTTCAAGAAGCTATACCAATACATTAAAAGAAAAAACCAAAACAAACCAATCAAGTAAACACTAGGATAGGGGAGGAACAGTTCCACATGAGGAGGAACATGGAACAGGAGGAAAAAATATTAAGAGAACCGAAAAATAAATAAAGAGTATACGAATTTAGCTGAATCTACAAAAGAATAGAACTATATTTAAAAATTTAAGAATATAACTCAATTGTTCAAAAAAGACTACATAAAATTATTCGATAATTATACAGATCAGATACTACTAACAAATAAATAATGATCCCGATATAGTTAATAAAAAAAATTATAATAATATAAATCATAAAAAAATAAAAACAAAAAGTTTTGTCCAAAAAATAAAAAAATGTTTGGAGTGGTTCCGTATTACGACGGATTCTCAGAGCTAGCAAATATACATGGAAAATTTACAGGAGTAAAAAAATATCCCGTATATAATAAAATACCGAAAAAAAGATTCTTAATATTTTTGCGTCTCCGAGATTGGTAATGTAAACATTTTCGAGAATGTTTATAATAATTTTAATTGCCCTTTCGATTGATATTGATTCCGCCTAGATATTTACGCTGGAAATAAATATGAATCTTTCCACTTGAGTTGATGAGAAGATGTATGCTGACAAGAGAATGATTTTAGATGATGAGATCACTCGATGGATCGAGTTTGAGAGTAGTCGTTTTCATTGTTAAAGTCATGACGAATTTTGTCATTGGGAATTCGTTAGTGTAGCAGTCAGAACTACTTGGGGTTTAAACAAGGAAACATCCTTTTTGGTTATAATTTAATTTAATTCGATGAGTTTCGGTTACAAATAGGTGATTTAATCTCGACATGCTATTTGGCAGTCTTTGTAAAGTGAGATAATCACCTGTTTTTAGCTGTATTCCGTGCCAAGGGATTTGATAACAACGTTTCTGATGGCTAAGTGGCCTACATGGTTTTGAGTGAAAAATAAGCTGCCGAGTTTTGAAGAATCGTATAGTTATCATCCACAATAACCTGAGGCCTAGTTTTGGTGTTCGTCAGCCTCCATTTTGTCTCCCATGGGTTGAATCCAGATCGTTGAAGTTTGTGTGGGACAATGCTTTCTGCATCCAATTTCAAGGTAAAAAATTTTTTTAAGTGCATAATTCAAAACGAAATAATTAGCTAGTGAAGTAAATATTTTTGTTAAATTTTTCTAAATAAACATTTTCGTTAATATACTAAGATTTGCTTTCATGAAAAATTAAAAAGTTTATAAATAAATATAAGTTTTATGGATCAACTAATTGTCACATTTTAGTTTTCTTTTAAATAAAATTAACTCTTGATAGTTATAGTCCATTTCCATCATATTGGAAAACAATTTTAAATTGAGTATGACCACCAAGTATAAAGGTTGAAGCAGAATAGAATACAATAGTTTTGAGGGTTACTAATCCCTAAATACAGTTGCCAATGTCGGAGTGATGGAGATTAACAGGTACTAATGAATTTGCAAGAAATGTAAGATGTTTATTTTATTGGTTATATATAAAATAATTAGTGGCCGTAACAGGGGCTGATTTGTAAAAAAATTAATATTATTTTAATCAAATTCCATTTCAGATTCATTGCTTTCTTCAGAATCTAAGGAATCTAATGTTAATTATTACCGGTTCCAGCATTGCATCAGTCATATTATCCAAATTCCACATTTTATTTTCACAATTGTATCAACCCATAGATATGGTACAGTATGACCTTCATTTAGCCAAGTCTCGTCCAAATAAAAAATTGTTTTCCCTTCTTCTCGGTACTTTTTAATAGTTCTTAGATAATCTCGTCTCCAACATACAATGTAATCTTTTTTAATTAAAACGGATTTTCTTCTATTCTTTTGCCAACGAAATCCCATCTCCCTCAATGGTCCCCATATGTTCTTGTTGCTTTGATTGGTAACTCTTCGTTTTCTCTAATGACTGTTTGAATTTTGTCCAATGTTGGAAATTCTTTGGTAAAAAAAATGAGTGGAGGCTGCATCTTATTATGTTTTTATGTATTTCTTCAATTTCCAAGGGTTTACTCCCTCCACTCTTCTTGGGAGAAGAAACAGTTCTTCCTTTTCTTTCTTTTAGGAATCTATAAATTGTTGCTTCTCCAACACCTGTCATATTTGAACACATGTTAACGATTTCACGAACATTACTTAAAGGGCGTTGATGTACAAGTGCATCGTGTACATTTAATATTATATTTTTCTCTCTTAGACTGAAGGCACCTTTAAAACTACACTTAACCGGGATAAAACCTGTTGTCGACGTCATTTTTAAATGCAAATAACAAAATATCGACACCAAAAACATAGGTAGGTAAGACATGAACAATGTACATCTACAAACTAAATGGAAGATGCAAACAATTTCTAATTTATATTATTGGCATAAGCTGTAATGTGGCATAAAAACTACTTAAACTATCCTTAGTGAAGCCTTATCAGTAATTCCAGGTAATCGTTCAAAGAAGGTATTCTTTTTGTGTCAGGCGTTAACTTGTAAAGAAAACAATAATCACCTTTAAATTACTGTTTACATTAATTTATTTCGTGAAACATTGAATTCTCTCGTTAATCACCCGTGTATAATTAACAATAATCGTGTGGCATATATACCGACGTTTTTTACGCACAAAAAAGGTATAGTGAGATTAGTGGACACTTATGTTACAGAAGATTTTTTAAAAGATAATGAATTATTGACGGCATCTTAAAATATTATTTTTTATTTATTTCAAAACAAGTATAGGGTGACGCCTATGGTTTTTTGACCTGTTGAGGATTTGCATACATAATGTGCTATCAATATGATGGAAAAGGACTGTAAATATTAATTCAGAAAAGATTGGTATTTTATTTCGACATATCATTTTCTGTCATTTGGTACATAATCATATTTTTAAAGTCTGATTTGTTAGATTCTGTTTTGTTAAAAGGTTAAGCTCATTGTAAGGTTTGTTACCACATTTAGATATTTTTATTTGTAATAGCTGTTTATGTGAAATAAAAATGTTTCTCTTTAATCCACGAATTTAAAATTAAATATTTTAATAAGATATTCACCCTTGAATTTTTTAGGAGAGAAAAACCATTATTTCTAACCAACAAGAGGATGCTTTTAAACGGAGTCCTATTTTAAATAGTTTAGGAATCTTCTTGTGTAGTAGTGCCTAGGATATCTCTGTACGTATTTTTTAATTTCTTTTTGTAGTTAGTTTCTCCCAATTCTCCCAAATTATGAAATGCTTATTCATGACTCAGCTCTCCAACCAAAACACCAGTAGCCGTTCGCAAACGTTTTAATTTATTTGCTTACCCTATCTTTAAGCCCAGTAATTGTTTATCCCCTCTTTCAGTCCCCAATAAGCTAATTAAAATTCTTACAACACTAATACGGCTAATAAAAAAATAGGGGTTGGCATTAGAAGGGCTAAAATTGAGGGTTATATGTATTTTTTTATTGTCCATTATAAAAAATAAAAACTGTTTCTAAAAAATAAAAAAATGGGGTGGACCACCCTTACTACTTGGGGATATAAAAAATAGATTACGGATCATTGTCTATCTGTCTGTGCAGAAGGTAACTCCTGCTACACATTGACCAAAACAACCGCTCTCTTGAAAATCGTTTAACTTCTAATAAAAGCAACATTAGTATTTCCAAATTCTCTTGTACACTAGCACAACATGCCATTGTTCTGAACTGTTGTTTCATGGAAAAATGTATTTTTGAAAACAAATCAGTGTTGTTCAAATCAGTCAAAATATGTGTTGTTTAATATTTAATGGGACGATTTCCATTAATTCATCTAATACTTCTTTAAGAAACTTCCATAAGCTTCAGGTAATTTGTGTGGTAAATGGTTAGAACCAATTATATACAATCCACAAGGAAACTGAATTCCTGCAGTTGGCTTTATACCACGAAGCACAATTTTTTTATTTAAAAAAGCTCCTTTAAAAACATATATTAATATAAAAACCCTATTGGGCTTCATCATAGAACGTTTTCGGAATAACTATTCCATCATCAGTGCTATCTGGATGCCCATATGGTTTGGATACCAATATATTTAGGGGCTTCAGACATGTAAATCTAGATAGCACTGATGATAGAATAGTTATTCCGAAAACGTTCTGTGATATAGCCCGATAGGGTTTTTATAGTAATATACCTTTTGTAACGGAACTTTTTTAAATAAAAATGTTTCAATTATACAATGTTTAACTATGCTCACACACACACACACACACACACACACACACACACACACACACACACACACACACACACACACACACACACACACACACACACACACACACACACACACACACACACACACACACACACACACACACACACACACACACACACACCACACACACA